AGCATGAGCAGATTCCGAAGGGATTGGTTCCCTGCCTCAGGCGCTTTCCTGTAAGGGCCAAAAGGGGACGGGCAGCTTTATCCCTCAGGTAACTGCTGTTCTCCTTTGAGTAGTACATTCAGAATGATTTCCAATAAACCAGAGCTGTAGTGCTAGTCATATACAATTTTTGTACACACAATAATTGCCTTCAACATCTTAACTGGTTACACTGATTTTCAGGAAAAGTGGAAAACCTTTATAATGACCTAAGAAGGAAAGAAATCGCTACTTCTGTATTTGTAGAAAACCCATAGGCAGTAATATTTTCTAAAGTGCTTCTTATCAGTTACTCTTTTAAAAATCAGACTTTTATTCTGTAGCGGCATAATTTCCTAGTGGTTCATGGACCAGTAGATAGTTTCTGAAAATGGGTAAAAAACCCATTTCATACTTTGTTTAAGCAAATGACACTTGCTTTGACAAATGCACCAAAGAGAGTGATCTAAGTGCAAAACCCACCATTTCTGAAAACACGGCCTTATGCTGGTTTACTGATGCAACTTTACATCCTTTAAAAGTCATTTACTTCAACTCCAAGAGCAGGGATTAAATAATACAAATAAAAGTTGAAAATTCAATGAAGCTATTGCCTATTTACCCTGAAATAAAAGAGTCTCATGATTCCACTGGTGCAAAAATCCCTCCAGACACCTTTGTTTTATTGGCAAAGTCATTTAAGGTCACTTTTGCTTCCAAGACCATCTTCTTCCATGGTTTCCACTGAAGGAGTTTTGCTTTGTAATGGCTTGTGGTTCCACAGTGATTTGTAAATGAAAAACTTACTATGAATAACTCTACCGTAGTCACTAAATTACAGATACTGTCACGAGAAAAGTCCAAAACTTACAGTGTTTCTTTTAAAATTTTCAGCAAGACACAAAATTCCAGTCAAATTGTTTTCTTTGAATACCATTTTAAATGGCAATAAATGGCTGCTGTGCCCTCTGGATGGAGAACTTAATGTGCTTCTTACGCGGTCGACTGATACTGTACTTCGAATGTCCCCAGCGCTTAGTGTGGAAGGGCTCCTGCAGGCACAGCCATTTGGATCAGCTACTCCTGTGGATATAGTGCAGTAGGTTTGAATCTGCACAGATAGACCCTCAGCTGGGTGGCACGTAGCTAATGTTGGGGTTGTCTGTTCTCAGAAGGCATGACACAAAGCATCCCAGGCAGCAAGAGGCAGAAGCAGCTGCAGCGTCGTTCCGATTCCGTCAAGTAGGAGTGGTTTCTGTCGGGAGGTGGTGGTTATTGCTGCGACAGTAAAGCACTCCGGTTGGCTTTCATCTTCTCCAAACGTTTCACTAGGTGGCCGTTGCTCACCTCAAGCTCTTCAGTTTTATCCAGTGCTGAACGAAGCTGAAGGAAGCAGAAAAAAAAAAAGAAAGGTAACTTTCACAGTGTTTTCAATTTCTAAAGAAAAGCTGACCATATTGCTGGAATTTCTTTCTAACATAAAGCTGTTGAAAATTCCTTTTAGTAGAGTTAAAAGTAAATGTTTTGTAACTGCTTTGAAAGCCACACACACAGGTATTTTCTAAGCAGGATGCCAAGAATCCAAGGTATTTACAGAATGTTGAACAAATGGCTCAGAATGTCCCTCAACTCCAGAGGCATGAGGCTCAGAGGTATCTGCTGGGTGATGTACACCTGTCTCACTGCTCCGCTTTTATGCTTCTGGTTCCCAGAACTACATCCACAGTCTTAGTTTGCTATAAAACCCACCACAGGATGGGTACGGAGAGAGAGCTGGACTGCACAGAGCAGTATTTATGGGCATTAGAGCAGAAGGAGTATTCAGAAAAAGCAGAGCCACACTGAGAAAAAAATCAAACACCTCAGGAGGCAGGAGTGAGAGAAGCTGATAAAAGTATTCAGGCTGATTGTGGCAGCTACTTGGAAACAAAATGAAGTTTGGAAAGAAAAATAAGGTCAAAATTACAGATGACTTGAAGATGCAATGCTTTTAAGAGACAGATACATGGGCAGAATCTGTGGACAGCCACACTACAGCAAACAGGCATGAAGGGATTGACAGAGCAAGAAAAAAAAGCTCACAGGGAATGACTCACATCCATCTAGCCCTCAAATTTACTCTGAAGCTTGGAAGTTCAGACTGTCATTCCTGGCAAGATGTGGCATTCTGCTTAAATAATGAAGTACCTAAACTAAGTTTACAGCAGAGTTTGCAGCTTTCTACTGCTGTAATTTCTGAACCACATATTCTCAAGAGACCAGTGACGTGTGTTTACAAACCCAGAATTTATACACCCCATAGCAATGAGCCTTCAGGTACAATGAAGGACAAGGACAGCAAAGGAGGAATAGGAGCTTTTCAGCTTGATGAATGTGTAACCACAGGAACATTCACAGCTGCAAACCTGAGCATTTGAAGGCTGCTGCCAGGTTCATGTTGTACAAGTGGAACTTGAGTTTGCTCCAGGGAACCAGCTCTGGTACAAATCAAGGCACAGCAGGCCAGTTTAGGAAGGAATGATGGAACAGCGGTGGGAATTCACAGTTGAGACTGTTACTCCAGTCTGAGCACCGAAAGTTTGGTTGTACATTTAGAATTATTAACTAAATCAATTAAAAAAATTAGATGTTTATTCTTTGCCGTGCCAATAAAGGGAGGTTCCTCCTCTCAAACACACCAGGGAGGCAGGTGTCCCCCACACAGAGCAGGCTGACTGCTGGCCTGTGACAGCCTGCAGTTAAGAGTTACCTCTCTCTGTAGTTTGCGTTTCTCTGCTTTCAGTTCATCTTCTATTCTTTCAGCATTTTCAGCAGCAGTTTTGTATCGGGCTACCTGACCTTCCAGTCGTATTACCTGGGGTGAAGGCAAAGTTTCTGAATTAAAAGACGTACCAAGAAGTTACTCTGAAGCTTTACTCTCCCACTAGTATTCAAGGAATAACCAGAGAGATGCTCACTCCTCTTTAATAAAATAGGGCATATTTTCAGAAAAAAAGAGAAACACCAAGGAAGCCTGGCAACAGTAACCTACTCCAGACCTTTTACACATATCCATATTTAATATGCTTCCAGCAACAAAAAATACAGCCCATTGACTAAAATTCTCTTTGCAAGAGCATCACTGATGTACTCTGGACAAGAGCAAACAATCAAATGAACAGCTGTGTATAAAATCCATATATATACATCATATGCCAGGAGCCATTTAAGGCTTGTCAATAGCTGGGCATCAGGAAGTGTTCTGCAGAGTTCAGCAAGTGCTGTCTTTGAATGTTTTTCCTTCATTTCAGATGAATAAGATATTCCCTCTTTCCCAAACATAAATGAAAGCATTTCAGTCCTAGTAGCCCTGATGCTCCAACACTTCCCTTATTTGAAGGGAAAATCACAGTAATCATGACTTCATTTATCATATAACAAAATACACTTTCTCTTTGCATTCTCATCATGCTTAAACATACAGAACAAGCCAAAAACTTACATTCTGCTCCAATGCTGTTATCTCTTGCTCAGACTTTGCTAGTTTAAATTTGAGATCACTGATCTGTCTGTTGGCATCTCCTAAAAGAATGGGAGATTTATCAGAGATGTCAGAACAAGTGTTAGCAGTTTCTAACAAGTCTGTCATAAAACTTCCATGCATCAGGGATCTGCGGCAGTAGAGTAGTTCTCTGTCAAAAAGTGCCCAGCTATATATAGGCATTATTCCCATTCTTGCCTGATTCCCTTATGACCACTCTGAAAGTGGAATTATCCTGAATTCACCCCAGCTCTCCTGAGGAGCAATAATACAGATTCCCAGCTGCAATCTTACTCCAACAAAGGTCCTAATTCCCTCACCTCTCTAGAGGTGCATGGCTGAAGCTGCCTAAGAACTGAGGGCTCGCTCTTACTCAGAGTCACGTGGTTATACATTTTTTCACTCGCATGCAGGGTACAAAATTCCCTTAAAATCAAAATGCAGCTCACTTTGGAGATCAATCATGTGCATATCTGTCCCGTTTTCCAGAACTCCATCTTCTGACTGTGTGTTATCCATCTTGCCATTCTTTTGCTTTTCTTCCAGTTGTCCCTTTAATTTTTTAATCTGAAGAACACAAAATAGTTATTAAAATCACTGAGGAAAATTGTGGCTCAGTACTCAAAATCACTCAAGTATTATCAAACAAATTATGTATTTTTAAAACCTAAATTCCAGAAAATCTTTTACTACAAAACAATGTCCTAGAAATTCTTTTGGCAAACGACTCATCAATTATCTTATGCATCAGTGCTTATGTATAAATTCAGGACCAAACACAATGAGTAGAAGAAGGCTATTTTATGAGAAAAGGAATAAATGTTCTGCAGGCACATTCATGTAAAACATTCTTAAAACTCCCAAAACTGTGTCTGGGTGTGTGCAAGTCTCAAAGTCAAGGATCTAGGGCACAAATGAAAGCACAGAGTGACCTGCAGAGAAACAGATCAGCTGAAGCTTTCAGAATAAACTTTATATCCTATATGGAATATCACGGAACCAGCAAAAATCACTTTAATTGCTATTTATGCATCTACAGCAATTCTTCCACCACTTCTTTCCGAATGGCCTGTTACCCACAGACCCAGCAATCCGGAGGGCTGACTCTTGGAAATGAAATTTGCTGAACCATGCTTGGCTTGGCCAATGTGAAGTACTATTTTTCAGAAATAATCCCAGAGAAGGGAGTTTTTAGATGACTGAGGACACTGAACGTGACAGGTGGAACGGGGCACACTGGGTTGCATTGCTATTTCCACGTATCCTGAGTTAATGTGCAGGAGAAACATTTCAGAGGAAGAATTAAGTGGCCAGCAAGGCAGAAAGGGCCCAGCAGGAGCAACCCAGCACACGTTCTGCGAGGTAGCAGCGCTGCTGCCCTACACCTTGCACGGGGGCTATTTTCTTAATCCCTGTTATTCTTACTGAAGATTTCGCAAAGAGCATTTCCCTTTCCCCGTGATTACCTGGTCTAGTAGGGATTCTCGTTCATCAATGAGCCTTTTCAGCCTGTCTGAAAGACAAGAGTGAAGGTTCAGTGGCGTGACCGCACAGCATGTTCTGGAGCACGTCTGGGACATGTGATGAACCGTTAAGGTTAGTGAAACTACTGGTGGAGGGAGTAATGCACGTACCACAGGAAATGAGGCCACAGACAGGGCTGGGAAGGGGCTGCAGCCAGGGGAGGTTATGTCATTCTCACAGAACATGCTTGTCACGGCAGTAGCTGCATGCAAAGAGGCTAATCTTCTACGTTAGGTTAGCATGCAAGAACTCTAGGGTCAAACACAACTGCAACACAAAATCTCACAAATCTTTACAGTTTAGCACAATGAAAATACTGTAAAAAACCTATAATCATTGCTAAGCACGTTCTCATCACTTTAAATCTTCCCTTCTTTTACATGGCAATGACTTTTGTCTCCAGTATTATGACCAGAAAAACATTTGCCCATCAAACTATTTGTGTTTTGAATGCAGCAGTCTGGTAAAACCTTCTTTCCTCTTCACAGTCAGTTCCCCATGTCAGACATCAAGAGGCCATGGGCAATCTGGGCCAGCTGTTGTGCTGCACTTGCACTTGGAAGTGTCACAGATCAGCACATGGATATGTGTGGCTTTCATTAATGAAGAGCACTCTACAGACTGAGACAACTGGAAAAAAGAACTACAAATTAAGTAACTGAATTGCTTGGGTTGTTTCCTTCCCCAATAAGGGGTGCAAAACATGAAAGCATTTTATCAGGTACTCACACATTCTCTTATCACTAAAATTATCTCATCAATTAACAACCCCTGCTGTTCAGGTGCACCTCAAGCAGAAGTCCACTGGAATGTAGCACTCAAAGGCACTTCTTAGAAGAGGCTCTGTTGACCTCAGCCAGGTCTTACTCAGTCCCCAAGTCTGACGTGGGTGTTTACTGCAAGTTTATTTAGCTTGCCTCCCTTGCCAGCAGGCAGCCACCTGGGCAGAACCCAAGGTGTTCAGAGCTCAGCTCCAGAGATAAGGTCTGGCCTGCTAATTAATTAAATTGTGAAAATCCAAAGGTCACTCAAGAAAAAGGTCTTTTTGTAAACTTAAGGAAAGCAATTGACAAATTACAGATAAGAGCCTGGAGGGCTTTTACCGGGTAAATTCTGTTGACTGAGTGTTTTTGAAGAGCTTTAAAAATGCCAGTCCTCCTTTGCCCTTAAATCCTGAACAGATCAAACTCTTATGGTTCTTGTGGTTCTCCCTTTTTTTCTTGTTAGTACACGCAGTTAAAGGGAATAAAGAGTCAGCATTGAATCAAATCGTGGGGAAAACTGGTTTTCAAATGAAAGTCCCTCTATGCAGCAGACATATACAGTCCATTAGCTAGCAATAATGTGGCATGTCATTTCCCTCCTGGCTATACAAATTCCCCATAACCAGCAGTCATACCAGAGCATGGAATAAAACCTTTACCTTGGCTTCTGATGCAATACCCCACTACAGATCTGAATGTGACATCCCAGTGCAGCTATTCTATGCCATCATTTTAACCCTTCTCAAGTCCTATCTTTTTTTTTTTTTTTAACCCAACATTGTTACACCTGTTTCAATGGAAAAACTAAACAAACAAAACAAACAAACCCCCCACATTTTTGTAAACTATCAAGAGTAACCAAAATTTACAGGTATAAACCCCTTCAAAATAATAATTTCACAGATCTATATGGGAAGGAAACTTAACACAGAAAATCTGTAAAAATATGAAAGATAAAGAAAAATAAAAGACAGTGAAGAAAGCAAGGAGAGGAAACAGTAAAAGACAGGTTGAACATACTCTGAGAGAGTTTTGGGAGTCACAGGTTGGCAAAGATTGAGAAATGGAGTTCTAAGGACTGGAAGGAGAACAAGGACTGAGGCAGCAGGAAACCTCTGGGCCACTACAAAATTAGCCCAGACTTACTGACTCTATAGGAGCCAAATAATCCACCTTGATCCTGAAAATAATTTAGTTATAACATTCATTAACGCAACCGCTGCTGTGGGGTGAAACACACCTGCCTGAGTAAAGGACACCTCCTCCAGCTTCCAGGAAAGAATCATATCAGCTTCCCCTAAGCCCTTTCCCTGCAAAATGAATGTTAGCACTTGGGGATGAACCTTCAAATCTCACCATCAGTCCTCTTTTCCCTCATTATGGATATCTGTGCTCCCCTCTGGGACATGCTGGCAGCAGGATTTACAGGACCAGGGAGAAAATTAGTTTGGAAAATTCCTTTTCTGCCCGTAGAGATGAAGGTCTTTGAGATTTCACTTATCATTTAAACCCCCACACTAACACAGAAAACTTACTTCAGCTTTGCTATCTCTGCAGTCACCTTAATTTTGCATTTAGGAGACATTTTTCCAACAAATCAAGGATCTGAGGACTCTGAGAACAGGTGAGCAGGAAAGAACAATCTACTGAATTAGGCCACTGAAGCAGCTAATTGAAATTCTTATCTGTAACAGTCGTTATCCTTATTTCACATACAAAGATACTACAATGAATAATTAGAGTGTGACATTAACCTCACTTCACTTTGGAAAACATGATTCCCAGGATACTCATTGCACCAGTTCATGGCTTTCCCACACAAAAGAGTTTAACAGAGGACCAAAGGAGGAACGGGGCCTGTGAGGGAGCAGGACACAGGGGGCTGACCACTGTCTTCTGTCATTCTTTGTAAATGAATTGACTGTTCTCATTGCCTTGGCACTGCAGGTAACCTCACTGCTATCTCGGGTGCTGCTTCAGTAGCACCATTGACCAAACATCCCCAAATCAGCCACAGGTCCTCCATGGTTCTTCCCGCTTGGAGGGATGGAATGGAACTTCCCATGGGATGGGAAGGAGCTGTTTTTATCTGCATGAGTTACATGATGTGTGGCCCAGCAAGCAATTAATCGTTATGCAAATGAAAGGATAAATTCTACCTGGAGGATGGAAAGACATCCCATGAAACCACAGCAGCAGCCCCGAGCAGCTGCTCAGAACGGCCTGCAAGAATCTGACTGTGGGATCATTAGCAGCTTAGACAACACTCCTTTCTCCAGATCTGTCCATTTATTTGGAGCGGGAGAAAACAACATAAGATATCAAGAAATGCCTTCCTGTCTTTCTCAGAAGAGAGACACCGTTGGGGACAGCACAGGATTTGGAAAACACCAGCTTGCAATACTGACTTTGAAGGGAACAGGAGGTCTGTTCTTTTCTGTAGTAAAGGAAATCTTGACAAAGACCTTTTCATTGTTTTTGTTTCCTTTTTCATCAGGTATGTTTCTTCAGCGGTGGATTTTGAAAGCATTTCAGGCTAGCTCTGAATTTGCAGTTATGCACAAACCTGGGCTACAGGCTACACGTGGCACTGGGCTTTGAACAGAAAACCCAGCAAGCATTTGGGGCTATTCTGAAAGACAGAAGTCTCATCCTCAGGTCACGTTCTCATATCTGAAAGTCAAAACCACCAAAGAAAGTGACAAACCAGCTGTTTCCTTCTATCTGTTACCTGTTGCAGGGGAAATGCCAAAAACTCTTTTCAATTGTGTAACTTCACAAGAGATGGATTTTCTGGGTAATTCCCCCTGAAACACTGTCTCGTCTCCTTCTCTACTGGCACACATTTCACTCAGTGCTGGCTGGCATACAATGATGAAATTATTAAGCTTTGAATATATTATCTAGTAGTTGCCTTTATCATCAAGGTAATTTACCTGGGAGTCCTCCTCCTCTCCCTCGATGTGCAAATACTCAAGCAAAACCAAAGAGGTAAAAGAATACCGTGACCTTCTCTTCCACGGTACTTGCCCAATTCCAGATGTCAGGGACCAGGTGCCAGCAGAAGTAACAAGCAGCTAATGCTCCAGCATGGATTTCTGGCACCTCAGCCACTCCACACTGCCTGTCCATGTTCTTGCTCCTGCCCTGTTTACACTGAGAGTGGGATAAAAGTTGGTATGTGGACAGGCAAGACTGGAGTTGTTTCTCCTTCTGTGACCTGGCTTTAAAAAGGAATTACCTTACAGATGCTTTGTTTTATGAAGTTGAAAAACTAGTTAAAAATCAGCTCATCGGTGATTCCCTCAACCACCCAGATGCACTCCGGTTAGAAATGAATTCGTATCAAAAATCCAAGAAATACTGGCATGGGGCTAATTTAACTCGGATAGATCCATCCACATGTACAGGTGAAGCCTGGGAAGCACATTTAATGACGTATTTATGGGTATTTAACATTTAAAACATGCCTTCAACATTAAACCACATACTACTGTTGAGAGTACAGCTGAGCCAAATCTTTTAAATAAACACTGCTACATGTTAATAAGAAATGCTCTTAAGATCTTTGCCCTTTTGGATTACCATTTAGTGTAAACCTTTAGGAACAACTGCTGATACTTACAGAAACCAGGGTGGGTCTGCTGTAAGGTGGAGAGAAGCCATGTGAAAGGAGTTACAGGGTTACAGACCTGTTAGAGGTTTACAGTTAAGGGTGCCATCACATATTCAAGATCCTCAAACCCTGAGGTTGCCCAATCCTAGGAAGATCACTCTTCCAGCTACGCAGCACAACACAATAAACTGAACAAAGCTGCAGAAAAACATGTTTGAGATTATACAGATTTAAATAACTGTTTATGCAGGTTTAGAAACAGTGCTCTGGAGAGGTAATTTAAAGTATAAAATACGTTTATTTAAATTATATACAGCAGCACATTTTGATACACATCTTGAAATTTTGCAGTCTGTCTGTACTCTATCAGCTTTGTAACATAATACAAACACAGCCTTCCATAGCCCCCACCCCCCTCAATTTGCATTTTCTTGTGACGCTCATTGCTTAAAACAACTTTAAATGAATATTTATGTATGTAAAACATGCTCTTCCTCCCAGGCACTAGCAAAGATGCAAGAGGAAATACAGCAGTGGAGTTCAAGTGTCTAATTTATGCCAGGAATTCAAAGCAATCCAGCTTTTCCAAAAAGCACAGGGGCTAGTACACAGAACAACAGTGATCTTTGGTCTGATACCCAGTAAGAGTTAAGATATGCAAAGTTATCTTCGTTCCAGAAGGAAGGAGGTAAGATTGTTTCAGAGATAAAAACATTCTTTCAGAATCATAGTTAGCAAAAAAATATAATGCAGTAAGGAAATGCAATTTTGAACAAAAATGTTCTTGGAAAAATAGGTATTTTATACATTCATGTCTAGACAGTACTTAAGAGCAGACCCAAGCACACATTACAGTGTGTATTGACACTTTCTCTGGAAAAAATAAAAACCCCATGTGAGACATGGTGTGAAAGGCCTATTGTGGTGCAAAGTGCCTAGGTGAAGTAAACATGTATATATTTTTTCCTTTCAGCAAACTAAGACCTGTTATGTTGCACTTTCTTCAGACTGTATATTGTTCTTCAAAAGTGCTCAGACTAAGCAGATTCGCAGTGATCCTACTATATTTTGGAATGTGACCATAATAGAAATACACGAGAAGTGGAATGAAAATATTTTTTTTCTTTTTCATATTTAAAAGATAAGATTGCTTCATAGATTTTAATCATCTTGAAAGAAGTTTCGACATCAGTGTGGCTGATCTGCTGAGTTCCTTCATGAAGTGTTAATGTACTTACTGTAGCTCTAAGCAGAAGTAAGCATGTGCATAAGTTCACAAAGGTCCAGTGCACATAAGTGCATTCAGGACGTCTGTCATCTAGGCTAGAATAAAAAAATGCCTACAGAAATTCCTCAGTAGCAGTTATCCACACCAGAGGTATGATAGTCTGCATGGTCAATTTGTGAAACTCATTAACCTGGTGATTAACCTGAGACACAGCAAAACAAAACCCACTCAAAGCTTCTTGTGGCCAGGTATGTCAGCGAATAACGTAATATTTGCATCACTACCACGTACATACATTGCATTATGATGAGTTACCTACAAAGGAAAAGTTGTAAGAGCATTCCTAGGGTCTGGTGTCCTGTGCAAAGTGCATGTTTCTGTCCTGGGACTGGTCACATGGCATGTAACTTGTGCAGGCTTGAGATCCTGAACTCAGGATATTGTACAGTCATCTCTGGATCTACCTCTACCCTTTCTACCACCCTGCAGATCCTCCTTGCTTTCAGCCCTGTTAATGATAGCACTTTCCAAAACCTGTTCCAGAACATTTTCATCCTGTATTTTTTCCAGTAAATCAGAATCTGCTGCTTTGATTTCATCTTCCATCACATCAGCCTTCTCATCAGCATTCCCTTGCAAGCACCCTGTTTCTTCAGGTTCATCTTGTTTATGCTGCAAGCTGTCGCCTTTGGTCAAGGCATCTTTGGTTTCCATTTCATCTCTTCCCTCTCCAGCTTTGTCTTTGTGGGCAGTTTTTCCAACATTACCATTTGCTCCATCACCCTCTTCTTTCTGTGTTTCAGTTTTCTCTCCATCACATTTTTCATCAGATTCTAGTATTTGATTTGACTCTTCATCAAAATCAAATGCATTGCCATCATCCTCCAGGCCTTCTTCTGCTTGACCCTCCAATTTAACTTGTTCACTAACTTTGTCATCCTGCTCAGTCTTCTGTGCCAGGGAATTATTTGCACCTTCCTCAGAAGCAAGTTCCTCACCATGGTGGTCTGCAAGCTCTAATTCTTGCTCATTTTCTTCCAGTGTTTCTTTATCAGCTTTGTTTTCAGTAGTTACACTAACACCTACACTTGACTCCTCTTTAGATTCACCTTCCTCTTGTTTGACCACCTTCTGCACTTCACCTTCTAAGGGTATATTTTTCTCTCCTGTACTACCTGCTGTTCCTTCACTACACTGAACTGTTTGAACTTCTACCTTTGGCTTTAAATCTTCTACCCATTCTGTCCTACTTTCCTTTCCTTTTCCAGATTCATCCCCTGTTTCCAATTCCGACTCCTTAATTTTATCATCTGAAAGACTTGGGTCTAAACTGGTTTCCTGAGCCATCACCTCTTTCACAACATCAGTGCCTGGCTGTGCCTGCACACTTCCTTCTACCTCAGGAACACAGCCCTCTGCCTCCACAGATACCTTATCTTGCTCCCCTGTTTCTGCAGAACCTGAACACTTCTCCAGCTCTTCCATTAGTTCTTCCTTCTGTCTGTCCTTCTCAGCTGTAGCATTTTCAAATTCTGTTTTATCTTGTGTACTGTGTTCCTCTGATGAGGCTGAAGGGCTGTCCCCTGATGACACTGGCTGGGTGAATGCCTGATATCCTCCACATTCCTTTTGAAGGGACTCTGCTGAGACACCCCTTTCACAGGACTCCATCCCCTCCACACCCACAGGCTCAGTTTCCCTTGTCTGACCCTGAACTGCGTTCCCAACCTCATTTTCTTCTTCAGCTCTATCCCCTCCTATTTCATCAGTTCTTCCGTCAGTGCAGTCTTTGCTTTCAACAAGCTTTTCCTCCAAGACATCTGTAACCTTGTTTTCAGCACTTTCTTCTGAGTGCTGGAGTTCCTGTGGAGGGGGACTCTCCACATTTCCCTCTTCCCTAAGCAAGCCTCCCACAGCACCCTCTGGTAGTCCCGCCTGGTTAGAAACCAGCTCACTGTTCTCACTTGTACTGTTGGCTTCTTGGTCCATTTCATTATCACTTAGGTCATGGCTAGTTTTAAGATCCTCTTGTTCTTCCTGCTTGGGTGCAGCTTCTCCCAGTTCCTGCTCTGTACCCAAGTCACAAAGCATTTCCTGAGAAGTCTCAGAAACCTGATGGCCTTGCAGAGAGCCCACCTCCGAATTCTCATTTGTCCCTCCACTCGAATCATGGTGTTCAGCCTCCATACTGTCAGGCTGCTGGGCCACTGTGCCCGTGGACTCTGTCACCTTTCTCAGATCATCTGTGTCACTACCATTGTTGGAAGAAGTGCTCCCTGACACAGGTTCTGTAAGGCTTTGAGCTTGCTCTGCAAACCCACTATCTCGGAGCATCACTGTTGACAGGGCGTCACATTCTTCAACCATTTTTTCTGCCTTTGCATTTTCAGCAGCATGCAATGTCTGTACTTCCTGCTCCTCAAACTCCTCTTTGTGTTCCTCATGCTCAGTATTCTGCATGATTTCTCTTTTCCCCACATCCTCCAAAATCTCATTTTTCATCTCCACTTCATTGGCTTTGCCTAAAAGACCATTGAGAAAGTTGAAGGGACCACACCACAGCACTTACCTCCCCATTTAAAACCCGAAAGAGAGAATGAATCAAAGAACAGGTTAATAAGATATCAGCTTTTGCCAATTACGTGAGGCAAAGCAGCGATTGAATTAGTAAGGGTCTGGAGTTTTTGATCAGTGAAACTCACCACCACCCTCTCAAAGCAAGAAGTCTCTGGTGCTGGCTTGTGTTTTTGGAAAGGAGATTTATGCCCTTGGCTGTGTGAGTTACAGCTTTCGTTGAGGAGAATAACTGTTTGAAGCAGTGCAATTTAACAGCAACACTTGCAGATGTACCTTTAAAGATTGTTTTTCCTCAGCAACATTCTCTACAACTTCAGCCCTGACATCCCTCTATGCATGCAGGGGTCTGATGCCATTACAATGAAGTCACGAAGGATTATTCAGTAATATTTTACTTTTAATACTACAAACAGGCATCATCATCAGTGTGCACAACAAGCACTGAATGTAAAATCTGATTGGCAAGCACATGGTTTGGCTGTTCAGCACTCCCAACACAGAGCAGAGCTCAGGTACTCTGTGCCCCTTAGAGCCACCCAAAGGGATGGGGACTTTGGTTTTTTGAAAGGTGTGTTTTTTGTTGTTTTTGTTTTGTTTTGTTTTTTGGGTTTTTTTTGGGTTTTTGTTTGTTTGTTTTGGGGGGTTTTGTTTGGTTGGTTGGGGTTTTGTTTGTTTGTTTGTTTTGTAACAATTTTTCTTCAAACTTATATTTAGAAGCAACAGGTATTAAAACAATAGGGTTTGTGGCTAGTTAGCTTTTAGGTCTATGTTGTACCTATTTCCAAAAGAAAATAACAGAATTAGGAGATATAGAAAACATACTGCATTTAAAAATACACCCTTACCTCGGTTTTTGGTGTTCCATATTGTTTCCACACAGAAACTGAGTGAGGCAAAAGCAGCCAAAAGCTCAAAGCAAGAGAACTTGCACTTGGAACAGTTGGCTGCCTGCTGCTATTTATGCATGTTCATTTAGAACAAAAAAACCCCCAACAAACCAAAAATATTACTTCCATTCCTTACACTAGTACAATAGTTCTCTGAGTGGCCATTCATCACAACTGTGTAAGAAGATTTTTGCCAACCAGATTTCTCCTTCCTAACGCTACCTGTATCAATTATATTCTTTCAATTGAAGTGTTAATGTAATGAGCAAAAACGTTGAAGTGTTAAATTAACTGCTCAATAGTGCAGGATTACCAGGGACAAAGAATTCATCCTTATTATGGTGTAACAGTGCCCAGCACTGTTTTCCAAGCAGACACTTCCAGTTCATAGGGATATAAATGAACCAACATACAAGTTCTTTATAGAAAACTAAAATGCCTTTTTTTTTCCTTATCGGGATTATCCTGGGACAACTTTCAAATTCAGTGTTTAAATAGTAATGTGAGAGACTGCTACTTATCTGTAATGTACTGTTTGTATTCCCGTCCTTTGCCACCTTGGAAGGGAAATGAAGTTTGACCTTGCAGGAAACTGCACAACGTACTGGTAGTGATAATCAATATTAAGCAGAAAAATGCATAGGAAGTGATTTGACAAGTAGCATGCTGCGTGATGTGTTAATTGTCCCACTAACAAATGCCCAAATCCAAGCAAAGATGGATGGATGAATGAATGACAGACAGGCAGAAAGATCTGAAAGGACATCCAGCACTTACCTAGCATCCCCTCCCCTCCTGTCTTTAATGCCTGAGTTGTGCCTGGAACAGTTCTGGAAGAATCCAAGTGTCCTTCGTTATCAAGAATGTCTGATGTCTCCCCATTGGTGGCTACATCAGAGTCGGGGATTATTCCATGTTTCTGTAGGGAAGTGAAAGCAATGCTTTACAGTCTGCTGCTTGGAAAGTGAGGGATTGCTAAGTGTTCTTGTCCATGATACTCTGAATAAACAATTGCTTCAATCATTCCATTAAACACGGCTGGAAGTCAGGAAAGAGAACAGATATTGCAGTTCTCAGTTTAGCCATTCTGATAGGAAGCATGTGATTCCAGCTCTTTTTTTTTTTTTTTTTTTTTTTAATTTAAACAAAAATCTGCAGCATAAAATGTTCCTCAGAGAAGCATCTCCTACAAAAGCAACTCCTTATTACTCTCATCTACATTAAGAAGTCACAATCAATAGAAGGGGGAAGGACTTTATATATAAAATTCCTGAAATGGCAACTTAGAGGCAACATGAAAATCAAGTTATTGCTACTGAGCTAGATTTAAATTTTCTGCCAGAATGTACAGGAGAAAAGGGTCAGCAGTTGATTATAAATTTCTTTTATTCCTCTTGCATACCTTCAGTTGCTCCTTCAGCACAAGCACTTCATCTCTAAGGTCATCCCGCTCACTCCTTATGGAATCAAAGAAATCTTTCTGCCTCTCTAGCGCCTGAGTTCCCGACAGAGACAGAGGGCGAGGAGGTGTGAATAAAGGAAGGTAGACAAGTAAAGGCCATGAAAAGCAAGTGCAAACAAGAATGAGTAGATTTAAGATATTTAGAAACTGGTGGAAGGGACATGGATGAAAAACGTCAAGTTTACAGATTCCAGGACCGAATTCACATACAGATACATAAACTTCAAATCCAAGAAATGCACAGCTTATTCAAGAACCAGACATTCAGAGCCCAATCCTTTCATTAGGGATCCTTTCAAATGAGGGTCCACGTGTTATTCTTATCTGCTAGACAGGTTAATCCATATCCATATTACTTCAACATACACACTGAACATATGTTAATAGAAGGGCATGGAAGCAGGCCCCCTGGATTTCAGGAGTCCTTTTATCCCATGGGTTACCATCATGGGTGCAGTACATTTCAATTAATTTGAAAGCTGCCACTAAGTCCTCCTTAGTCTGGGATGCACCATGTGCAAATGTATATTTTGCCACTTAACACCCCCCAACATTTCTATGTAAGTACAAATAGAAGCATAAAAACATTGGACAATTTTCAGTTTGAAGCTGATACGAATTATTGGACATCACAAGCACAGGCAAGCTGCCAGATTTCTTCCTCCTATATTCAGAAAGCCCTTTACAGTGCTCAGTTGGAAAAGAAAGCCAGGCTGTTCTTTAAGAGTGGGTTTCCACGTCCTTTGACAAGGGGTGGTGGGAAGGGATAAGAAGCATTGGAGACTTTCATCCCAATAGCCTATAAATAGCTCTATTACCTCTTTATCCCACTCCAGTTTCTGCTCAGTCTGCAGACTGAATCTGAATAAGCGAAAATGCAATGCTGATGGAATTGCATTATAAATAGCACTTCCTTTCTCGATATGGCAAATGCAAATGGTGCAGCACAGCAAATAAACTACCCCTGGTCTGCAATCAGACCAGCTGCAAGATTTTTCTTGGATTTTATGACACTGGCCAAAGACAAAACTTGCTATTTGCTAGTCACACCAAGCAAAGGCACTAAGGAGGGTTTTACAGAAGCAGGATCAGGTGGAGAATGACAGTGCCACTCTGAACACATTTCAGGAGTTGACAAGTCCTACCCCTATTTTTTTGTCTTTCCACTCTATTGTCTCCTGAAGGTCGGAAATTTCCCTGACATAGCTCTGCTGTTTCTGTTGCAGCTGTTGGATTTCCTGAGGGATGGGAGCAAAGCAAGAAGACAGAAAACAGGTAACAGGTTAACAAAGAAGGTCAAGATTGCAGTCATGCCAAAGAAAGAAAAAAGTGAGGTGATAAAGTAAAAAGAGTATCTACATGCACAGTTTCTGACACCTCAGCTGAACCTGTGTTCCTTATTAGCCACAAGATGACTTAAAACAAGTTATACAGTTCTGTTACCTTCCTCTACATCTCCACAAACAGCTGTCCAAAATATAATACTTGGGAAGAATAAGATAACATTTAGGAAAGTACTATTTCCATGAGTCAGCTCTGAACCTGTTTGACCTGAAACACTAATATGTCTTCAGGTGAGAAACTTGAGTAGGCAGTAAAATTCTCCATGCCTCACCTTCTCTGCTCCTAATGCTTACTGGGAATGTACCAAACAAAGAAGCCATTAAAAAAAAAAAAAAAGTTACTTACTGCAAGCATTTCTTCCCTTTGCTTCAAAGCCTCTTTGATTTCCATGAACTGAAACTGCAATATGCTATGAGCATGCTTCTCCCTCTCAAATTCCTACAAATAATGAAATATGCATGAAATTATTATTAATCAAAAATAGTTTCCCATAGAAAAGGGGGAAATAAGCCCAAACACAAAGGAAATGCTTACTGCAATGTAATTCTTGAATATCCCTCTAATCACAATCCCACAAGAGTACAATTTTTATCTTATTTGTCCTTTTTCCAAGACCAAATATAGAAGTGAAATCATCATTTAGCCCATTTCATAAATTGAGCAGCAGGATGGCAGTGAAGACTTTTTGCACTCCAGTCCTACAGACTTCACAGATGAAGGGATGGGAATTTAACCCACTCTTTCCACATGGCCACATACTAAAAGTTAGTTGGTCTTTAAAATAAAAAACCACACTGTATCTTCCAGGAACTGTGTTTTGAAATGCACTGCAGTCAAATGCCATAAGCTAAAAACAGCCAGTTCTGAAAAACTAACCCAAGCCCCAGTTTTATCATTTAACACCAAATCACTAGCTGTCAGATGCTGAATTCATGTACAACTTAATTCAAACACTTAACCATGGAGCTGCCTAAACTATCTGAACTGCACAACTCTCCCATGGGCTGTCTGGAGACACCTTTGTGCATACCAGTGCTCCAGAAGTCCCTACAGAAAAGCCCCCTGAACTTACTTTAAAGGTGAAATATAAAATAGAGATGTGATAATACCAATATAGCTTTTACCATGAAAAACATTTCTTCCCTTTTTCAGAGATTGCTTTATAAGACAGAAACTTATGGCAAATTCCCATTTGTATGACGCAAGTACATAATATGCTGCTATTTCACTTACCTCAAAAGTAATTAAAATAATACCTTATTCAAAAAGAATAGCAATTTGGTTGCCTCCTCACAAAGGTCCCTGCCCACCTCCAAATCTTCCCCTGTTATTTACCATGCCATACATATACATACTTTACTTTTTTCTTCATATTGCCTCCTGGATTCTGCCAGCTGTTCTTCTAACTCTAGCAGTGCATCCTTCAGGGTGTCGACTTGGTACATGAAATTGGTTTTTTCATTGTCTAGCTGAGCATTTGACACCATAGCCTTCTTGTATTTCTCTTCAACTTCAGCTAGAGAGTCCTGAAAAGAATAACCAACCCCAGTCAGAGCCAGAAATAAAGGATACTTCGCCAAGCAAGACCTCCCACGAGAAAAATAAAGTACCAAAAGGCAAGCCTGCCAAGTCTGCCTACGGAAACCAGCACTAATCATGTACTGGAGGCTTCCCAACTGTCCCAAGGTGAGGATAACCTCCTGTGTTCCCACTGCACTTGTGACTACAAGCAAGGAACCTTACCTCAGGACAGATAAAATCCCTCCTGGTCTCTGCTGCTTCAGCTTCTGCCTTCCCAGTTTTCTTCCTGCTCCCTCCCCCCCCTGCCCCTCCACATTGGCAGCTCAAAGCAGCTGCTGAAGATGACAAGTTGGGATTTTTTTTTTTTTTAAAGGTAAACTGGCCTTGATTTAAGATCCCTTTACAAGATCTGAGGCCTTAAACTAAGGCAAATTATCAGCCACTTCACACTAATTTAAAAGATCCTTGCAGTGTGGGAACCCCTAAATATACTGACTCAGGCATTAGAATTCACAGTGAAAGTTGCAGCTTTTGTGACCTGATGTATCATTTTCCATTAGGTTTCCCATATCACATCCCTTCTTTACAAGTTTATTCTGTAAGATACAGTTCTCAGTATTTTGAAAACCCCTCCTTTGCAGCTTGACCTGAATATAAGGTACTGAGATATTTATAATAACAAATTATGGCAAAATAAAGATTAGCATAACTTTCCATGTTGCACAGACAAACTTTGCACTATTTGATTTTAATACTGAAATAAAAGAGTTACATAAACAAAACAGTGTAAATGTGCAAACAAGGAGGACACACAAGTCAACATTTTAGTTTACAGATCAAACAATTTCTCTTGGAACTTGTATAATTTTAATAATTTCAACTGAAGTACGGGTGAGTTTCATACACTTCCTTTTTCAGCCAGTAAGTGGAACTGAAGATGACAGTGGCAAAGTCTGAATCATTTTAGTTTACCTCTCTATTGACAAATGAGATGATTTGACTCTCAGGACATGAATTTGTACAGTTTCAAACACTTAACTATGTTTTGGTGCACTTTCCACCCTGAGATGAGAAATACCAGGCACAGGAAAGCCATCAGGATTTGAAAACTGTGGTAGGACCAAACCACAGAAATGAGCTGGAAAGGAAGTATATGCAAGGAAGAAGTTAAGGAAGTTGCTGTTGCACTCCTTTGGCATGCTACATTTTGGTTTCTTAGCATCAAGCAGTGCAGCTTAGGTGCAAATCACACCAAAAGACAGTCTAAGGAACAGGAATTGAAAAATTACCTACATTTGTAAGGCCATGGGATTATTTTGCTTGTGCCAGCTACTCAGTGATCAGGGAAAAAAAGATTTTACAAAAAAAGGGTCAAACTACTCCTCTTTCATTGCCAACTCACTTAAGATGGCAGCATCTTCACTTGTCACAGCACTGAGCCAATGATGCAATCAGCAATTAATGCTGACAAATGTTGCATTATATGCCTGGATATCTATTTGCAAGACTGCCCTTTTTCAAAAAACCACAGCTCACATTGCTGCTCATTTGTGAGGTGGGTGATACACAGACGTGTTAGTTGTTGCACCAAAATCTGTTTATGGCTTCATGGAAGTGGTAAGAGCTTCAGCACTCATCATTCATGTAACAAGCTCTGTTACATGAGGTTTTGTTAGAAGGATTATTTAAGGGCGTCTTCGAAAAATGAAACCAAAATGACAGTCACCACCTCACGTGACCTTAAAACAATAAAACAGACAAGCTTTTAGACTCTGATTTTTAATAGTACTGTAGGGCATGAGTTCTAGTACATCTTCCAGATATTGGGAGGTTTCCTGGATTAGGAAACTATTAAAAAAAAAACCTCTAAGAATTGTAATTTGCTAGTAAAATGATTACCTCCTCAAACCAGCAAAGACAACATGCAATGGCAATCAGCAGGCTTTCAGTTAACATTTGGAAGCATTTCTCACCACAATCAATCCAGGTCAGAACAGATACTTTTCCACATAATTAGACACCTTCCACACAGTTTCCAGCCTCTCCAGAAGAACAGCATGCAAGGTCAGCTCTAGGGCTCACACTGGGGCTCTGAATGCTGAGCCAGGGTTAATGATCACACTCCCGGTCTGCAGCAAACCAGTACCTTCAGTTCTTTCAGTCCCTGCATGTATTTGCCTTCTACATCCTGAATCTGGTCCTTTAACTCATAGATATCCTGAGGGAAATGGTGAGAAAGGTGAATGACGCCACGGCAGCTAACAGGCAGAAGCACAGCTGGTTGGGACAAGCAAGTATTCAAAGTTCTCCTTTACATATCTCTACCACACAGGTTAAGGGGTCTGATCCTAAGCTGAAGTCTTGACAGACATCAAGATCTAATTGGTTGGAAGTTTATGATAATTCTGCTTTTCTTGACTGGAAAAAATCAAATCTTCGATGTTAAGGACAAGACGCAGACACAGGTTCAAAGGCTCCAAGCCCAGCCCTTCTCTGCTCCTCTGGGACAGAGGACCACCCTCTGTCATAGTTTCTCTTCTCTCCAATAAGTCCACTGCTGCTTGCATTATTTCCACCCTCCTATCAGTGGGCTTTACTGAGCCCATTCCCTATTTCAGGATCATGACCTGTCTCCTGCAACACACCAGCTCCCAGCAGCACAAAGCTGATTACTTCTCATTCACTGCACCCAGTTCACTCACTGCCAGAGCTGCCAGGAGGGGCAGACAAGCCAGTTTCTTCTTGGGAAGGGAGTCTGAAGGATATTTAATCCTTTATTCTGGTTTTAAGTATTTCTCACCTTGATTTCTCTAATAGATGCCTCTGTATCGGCTGAGATGGATGTGTCCCCACTGCCCCTCCGTGAAGAAGTCCCGCCCAGAGAAGCCAAGGTAGCTGCTGATAAACTTGAGACAGTTCGCGCTCCCTGCAATTCAGCCAGGTAAACATGGTTAGAACTCTTTTTGTCCCAGATATATGGTGAGTTTGTTGGTTTTTTCCTTTTTTTTTTTCCATCTTCAAAAATGTAGCAGTAGAAGGCTCCAGCCATTAAATTTTTGTCCCACAATGCATTTTAATGACAACTTCTACCTACCAAAAAGAATGAATAAAGCACTATTGTCAAAATAATTAATCAGATCCTTCTTACCTTCTCAAATTCTTTTTCTGGCCTTTCTTCAATCTGGAAAACAAAAATTGAGAAGGATTCATTAATATAATAAATAAAGGATAAGAGAAGGCAGTAATATACCAGAAAGAGAATTCTTAAAGCTGTAAAAGACCTCTCAATAGCAATTTCTACCCACTCACAAAGCAGGCAGCTCGCTCAGAACAGCAGTGTTCTGGCTGGTACCTCAGGGCACAAGGCTGGAAAATCCCCCTCCAATTTCTAGGCTGCATGTAATTAAGTGAAATATGCTTACTGATAAAAAAACTACTTGTTCTATTAAATAAGGTAGAAGAATACATTTTTCTATACTTTACATCACAATGTTTCAAACATGAAGATGGCACATAATCTATGAGTTGGCAATGCAGGAGTACAAAGGCCTAGATGGGAATGAACTCAAAGTTCCAGATGTCTTTCCCTGGACTTAAACAGCTGCATGCAACTGCTGTCCTGACAAATGCAGCTGCTCCTATTTACTTTAGAACAATTTAAAAATCTGCCTCAAACGAACCCCAAATAGCAATTTATTTAAAGAGAGAGGGGAAGTGTTTTGTTTTTTTTTTTAATTGAAAGATCAACAGATTTCCAGACCAAGGCAGCTTCTTAAATGTTGCATTTTTTATGGACCTTAACTAAAAAAGGCTCCTCTGAAGTCTGCCACCACATCCTCCCTGGTCCCAAAAAACAAGATATCAAGTTAAGACTTGAAAGCTACAGCTTAAAAACCTCTGATAAATATTCCCCACTCAGGAAAACAGCAACTGCAAATTCAAGCAAAGATCCAAGACTACAAAACTGATCCTCAAGTCAAATATCAAGAGACCAGCTCAAAGTCTAAATAAACAGCTTTTTTAGGGTTTCAGTACTGCACTGCAATTTACTAATTCAGAAGAGACCCTGCACTAAAACTAGTCTAGAAAAAACAAAACAGAATAGTATTTAGGAGTACAGAAAATTACCATGGATAAAGACAGCTTAGATGTTTAAAGGAAAGTTAAAGAACAAGACCCATGTACAACACCAGCAGGAATATTTTCCTTGGGATAGGAACCATCTTATCAACTTTTTCCTGTTCTGAAATGAAATGAAAGATACACTTTACCAAGAACTAAGTGTAAAATGGACTGAATGAAATGAAAAGCTCAGCAGAACTCAAGAACTCCTGAACCTGACAACTTCTTCTGGGAACATTTTCAGCATCAGAGCCAAGATGGTTTCCCAAAGGAATCCTAAAAAACTAAAGGCTTCCTCAGAACAAGAGACTAAGAGCCAAAGGGAATAGTGATTTTGAAATGACTGTTAAAAACAATCAGGATAGAGAGTGTTCAGGGGAAGGCAGGGGACAGTTGTGGTTTAACTGGTAATTTCCATTGATAACACACTCAAAAACTACATCTCCTTCCAATCAGTTCACAGGGGGTTTTTAAATCTAAATTACACAGAATAATATGAGGATTATTGAACTCATTATTTATTTATATTATCTGTGGTACCCTATTAAAAAAAATAATCTGAGAACTGAGAGATGCCTGTAACAAATCAGCTTCTTACACTGACAACACATCTCGTAGCATAAATGTCCTATGAATTAGCATTAAAAAAAATTTAAGTCTGAGGCTTGGAAGTAAAATAAGCCAGACTTAAAGTTCTAGATCTAAACTTTGCAAAGACACTGAATACACAAAACTTAGGAAAAACCATCAAATCTCTGAATTTAGATGCAGTAGGAGAAGGTAATTAATGAAGGCAGATATTTCAGTTCAGACCCAATAAACAAGATGGACTGAACTGTGCAAACAGCCTTTTGTTTTCATGATAGACAGCTCCAAGTGGTGGATTTGGCAGCCTTTTAGCCTGGCCAAGCACTGTGTGGTTGTTTATCAAGAGAGTTGTGGCAGTGTCAATACTGGCATGTGACAAAAGATTAGTGTGCACACACACACACACACACACAGAGAAATCTACTTCCAGGAATTTTTGTAGAGCCTTTGCAAAATCTACCTTTACAGGTTCAGGGCACAACTGAAAATATTTATTTTCTTTAAGCCATTTGCAGAATGGCCTCTATTTTCTGAAATTACATGCAATCTCAGTTTTTAGTAAAATAAAGAAGGGAGCAAATATTGATATTGTTTTAATGATGCACCACCTGAGTCAAATAAAAGTTTCCATTTACAAAGGGGAAAATGTTGAAGACAACGTGGTGAGAGATATAAACAGTGAATATTTCTACTCAAGCACTCACAACCACACCTGTGAAGCCTGCTGCACCTTTATTGTAAAACAATCTTAAATAATAACTCTAATGGGGCATAATCTGTTATAATTAAAGCTATTAGGTAACATCTGAAATTGAGGTAGTTTAAAAAAACAAACCAGGAGATTTTGTTTTCCATGGCCATGGTCCTGCACACATCCATGAATGGCACACTTGGAGCATTTTCACCTCAGAGCCAGTAATTACTACTATTAACATATTTACATATTAACACTTAAAAAAGGTAAAATGTCTTGAGAAATGCCAGTTCCTCATTCCAAAATAATATCCTTACATTACAAAGGTGTCTCCTGCTACACAACAGTTCTCTAAGCAAAAGGTCAGTCTGAAACAAGCAGCATTTAATTTTATGGTTACATGGCAGTGATACACCAAAACCCATCTTCTAGAAAGACAGTAGATTAATATCTTATAGTTTTCATTCTGCTCATGTTTAGATTAATGTATTCACAGTATCACTTCTTTAAAAAGATAATTTGCTTTTCAACAGCAGTCAGCCACCAGAGGGAACTCCAGGTTTCCAGCCTTCATCCAGTCCTCCCCAAGCACTTTGGTAATTGATTCAGCAAGAAATCAGAGAAAGGTCAGGAAACAAATGTTTGGCTTTATTTTATTTTATTATTCAGAATTCTTGCCCAAAACACTTACCTTCTAGTATTTTAGCATTCAGTCAAGAACACTGCAATTATTAAACAGATTAAAAATAACCTTCACCTTCAAACCACAGTCCTTCAAAAAAACATACTGGCTTTGGGACTTTTCCACACACAAAGGACTGAGAGAATACTTGCTAAAAAGGAGATTTAAAGAGGGATTCACCTACTGATACTTTACATAACACTGTACCATTTTTCATTTGCACAAGGGTGCGGGTCTGTCTCTGATCACAGAGTACCTTCATCTTCACCAACAACATGGGCAATTTGTTCTTTATTGCATAAAAAAGCAGGAAAAGGAAGTAATTTTCCAAGGAACTCCAGCATGCATATCTTTGTTTTGGCAAAGGGAATGGGTTGCTCTCTGCAAAATAAGTGCAATGGGATCAGAGTTCAGCCTCTCCTGACAGGGGTTTCGGAATAAATCCAGAGCCATGTTACAAAAATGTCAGCAGTATCAGAGGCTTGCTGCAGCTGGAAGGGTAACAGGAGCAAAATCATCCCACAAGCCTATATATGGATATAGTGCCTATTTTTCATAGATAATAAACACATTTTAGTACAATGTTTGAGAAAGTATTTCTCTGTACTCTGCAGTCAGTTAGTGGGTTAACCCTTGAAGCTCTTTGCCACCAGTGAGTGTCCAGGCCAAAATTAAGAGTCCCTGCAGCACTATCAGAGAGCATCCAACAAAACAGCTCTCAAATAAAGAGCTCTTAAAATCACTGGAAGGACCACGATTAAGGCACAATTTCCAGCTTCCAGGTTCCTGAACAAGGCTAGAGAAGAAGGGAAATCTGGAACACTTGCTGTCTAGTTGTGCTACGTACCACGCTCAGGTATCAGAACAACTTCAGCATGTTCAGTACGTGGCTGTCACTGGTCAGCCCCATCTAAGATCCTGCACTTAGACCAACTTTCTCAGGAAAGCAAAGGGATTTTTACGGTGACAAATCAAATTAAGTCATTTCCTGCTCTCTTAAAGTAGTACAGCACAGTTTGAAATGGAAATATGGCCAACAATGAAGAAAAAAATTTTACAATAGGTAGTGCTGAACACAGGGATGATACCTACAAAACCTGGAATTAAAGAAGACAAAAGAGGTATTGCAGGCAGTATAACCCCTCCTAAAATCCCCATCTTACCAGTCTGATCAGCTGGGCTGGGCCAGGCAGTAACACAGAGTGTATTTTTCCAACGAGAGCCACCTTAACACTAGCAATTAGCAACAGGCTTTTGAAAGTCAGCAGGGGAAATCCACTGCTGAAATTTTTCAGGTCTGAAGCTGGGTTTGTGAGAAGAATCCTCAATCAGGAATGAGTGCTATGCCAAACGTCACTGCTTAAACAAACTTATCAGCCCCTGAAATGCAAGTCAGCACTGCAGCAAATCCTCACTCTGGAGGGGCCCAAAGCACACCCAGACTGTCAGAGGCCAGGCTTGGATAAACCTTCAGGTGTAGAGGAGGGAAGGCAAAACCTGATACGTGCCTACATCAAAATTAGGTCTGTCACTGTCTTCATTTTATTTCTGTCAAGAACACGAGCTTCTTCCAGTGAACAAAGCTGTTCTCAACAATGCACAGTCAGTGTGACCTGAGGACTGTGTGTGTGACCTGGACATACGGACAGACTGCGGAACAAGATGCTGGGAAGCAGTGCCACAGAAAGGGGACCTGGGGTCCTCACTGATGGCAAGTTGAATATGAGTCAGCAGTGCCCTGGCAGCCAGGAGGGACATCGGTGTCCTGAGGGCCGTCGAGCAAAGCATCGCCAGCCGGCAGAGGGAGGGGATTGTCTCACTCTGCTCTGGGGAGGCCTCACCTGGAACATTGTGTGCAGTTTTGGGCATTGCAATATAAGAAGCACTGAAAGCTGTTAGAGACCATTCAAAGGAGGGACATGAAGGTCGTGAAGGGTCTGGAGGGGCCATATGAGGAGCAGCTGAGGGCACTTGGCTTGTTTAGCCTTGAGAAGATGAGACAGGACAGACCTCACCATGGTCTGCAGCTCCCTCACCAGGAGTTGCTCCGATCTCTGTTCTCTGTGACCAGTGACAGGACTGGAGGAAACGGCTGGAGCTGAGTCAGGGGAGGTTTAGGCTGGATATCAGGAAGAGGTTCTTCCCCCAGAGGGTGGCAGGGGATTGGAACAGGCTCCATAGGGCCATAGGTCACACCCCCAGGGCTGCCAGAGCTCAAGAAGCATTAGGACGATGCTTTCATGGACACGTTGGGACTGTTGGGGTGTCCTGTGCAGGGCCAGGAGTTGGAGACTCGATAATCCTTGTGAGTCCCTGCCAAGTCAGGATATTCCATGATTCTACACAAGCTCACACTGCTGTTGGTACCAGCCCATCTGATGCCAACTGCTCGTGCCCACTGCCTGAGCCTCCACAGGAAGGGAGAGAGCCAGGATGAACCGTCATCTTCCCAGGGTAGCAAAATATGCCCTCTCCTATTATTTTGCCTGCCTTTACTCAGAAAGCCTTCAGATAAATACTAATGCATTCTGAGTCTGTTCAGCTTTTTAATTTTAAAAACCCCAAACTTGTACAAATCATACCAAAAGCCCATCTCAGTCAAAACATGCCGATAGCTCAGGCACAAGATCCACTTCCATCAGTACAAATGGACCTGATGTTTGTTCCTGGTAGTCTTGAGATCTGTGGTTTTTATAAGGATAATTATTTAGTATTAAACAGCACATTTGCGTATCTGCAGTGACTGCAAGGACAGCAGACGATTACTCATGGGGGTAACAGGAAAAGTGTTAAAGAAAAATAAACATAGAGCAAACTTCATGCAGATACAGTGAATTTGTAAAAATAACTACAAAGACAAATATTCACATGTTATGTTTAAGTACCTTCCTGCTTTTTCCTGTATTACCAACATGGTAAGACAGAGAACACAATCTGGCAAAGCTCTGCACAGCAGGAAAACTACTGTTTTGCTGACTTCTTAGTGAACAGGGATAGGAGGAGGAAGCAAAATTCTAAGAAAAAAATTTAAGGGCTGCAGTGACTAGCTGTTGCATGCTTTAATTTAGAAAGGTCAATGGAATCATTCTCCATTCCCCATGTATAATTTCTCATGGTAATTGGTAGGCTTGGGAACAGTTCAGTTTTGGTTTTCTGCCTAATAATGCCCTTAACTGTAAGAAAATAATGTGTTAAGCATGCACAATTAGAGTACATGGATTTTGTAAATTGTCCCACTCTCAAGTGACATGAGCATGCTGGAAACAGCTTTTCAACCCAACAGATACTCCCCTTTTCCTTCTCCTCCACCAGTCATTTAAAAAGTAAACTTGGAATCAAATCTTTACATGTGTAAATACCAGAAAATGTATAAAGCAAATCAAGAAACCATGTGATTAAGGCAAGGAACAACCCAGTGTTGTGGTTCAGTGATGTTGAAACAAAGTTCTAATGTTTACTAATGATATAAACAAAACCAGTCCTTTTTTTCCTCTCAGGTTATCACTGTCATGCAAAGAGATCTTTATACTTCCCTGAGGAATTCCCAGAAGCTGACATTTCAGGAGTGGAAGCCAAGCACTGCTGAGCCTGCTGAGAAGACAGGGCTCTCTCTCAGCATCTTTACTGCCAAGATCAAGTATACAACTGAAAACATGATTGAAATATAACCACAAGGTGCTGCTGTATTGACCCTGTGTAGTAATAAGAACTTTGAGGATCAACTAGACTCACTACAGCATTAATTCTCAGCTCTTCTTCAAGGCCACAGAAATAAGGGAAGCTCTTCACACCCTGCAATAAACCTCTAATTAAAAAGAAAAAAGTAATCTAAGAGATGGCTATTGTCTCCCTGCAGGGCAGATTCAGCTTGGCACCTTGGTGCTGACGCAGCAAACCATCCCCAGCCACTTGCATACCAACAGGCCAAAGTGTATGTAGAGAATTTAAATTTTAAAATAGAAAACCTCCTGTGCAGCTCCCAGGTGGGGCAAACTGCATCCTGTGATTCCCATAAGCGACTTGCATGAATTACTTGGTCTGCATACAAAAGACTCCTAATGGAAACCAACAGCATATGGGTACCCAGCTCCTTACCCTTAAAGAATTTTAATGGAATCCCTGTTTATTCTGATTAATTTTTGCTTTGGGGATAATTGAAATTCAGTTTGCAAAGCCATTTAAGAAGTATTACTAATGCAATACTGCAAGAACTCATAGCTCAGGGACTCAGGTTCAGGGACTAATTAAAATACTGATTTATTTATAGCTCACCGGCTGCAATACATTACCTGATGAAAATATTTTTCTTTTTTAATTAATTTTTACCCTTGTCTTAAAGAAACACCAATACTTCAGAGCACACGACTTTGTTCTATCAATATTCAAACTGCAGACTACATTTGAAGGGGGAACCAGCATGGAGTCACAGACTGGTTTGGGTTGGGACTTTAAAGCTCAGCTCATTTCACACCCTGCCATGGGCAGAGACACCTTCCACTAGAGCAAGTGGAAGGGACACCTTCCACAAGCCCAGTCCAACCTGGCCTGGAACACTTCCACGGATGTGGCAGCCACAGCTTCTCTGGGCAACCTGTGCCAGGGCCTCACCACCCTCACAAGGAGGAATTTCTTTCTAATATCCCATCTAACCCTGCCCTCTGTCAGTGAGAAGCCATTTCCCCTTCTCCTGTCAGTGTGTGCCCTTGTCCAAAGTCCCTCTCCAGCTCTGCTGCAGGCTCCCACGATGGGGGACATCAAACACAAAGCAATTCCTCACTGCAGCCTAGTGTGTTTCCAAAGAGGAACATCTCATCCTGTTGCCGTGGCAGATTTCTTGCCTATCCAGATACTCCTTTTTAATTAGTCCTTAAGGCAACATTTACAGCATTAAAGTTCCAGCTCCTCAGTAAAGGCAGCAGGATGTTATGACTAGAGCAGCATGTTGTGTGTGTTAATTTACACTCTCCTCATCACTTTTTCTTGGGGATGTGGCAGGTAACGCGTGACAGGTCCCAGGAGAAAGAACACAGCAAAACTTCACGAGGAGGAAGGTTTCCATGAAGTAAAGCCAGTTTATTGAAACTCAGTGCAATGCTTCAAAACCCACTCTCTATGGAAAATTAATGTTGGTATAGACTAGTTGACTGTAAGCTGCACGTTTCCTCTAAGAGACATCCTGCTGCACTCTGCTACTGTCACCATGCTATCAGCCCATGCTCGGAAATTCATCAGGGAAGAGACTCAGAGATGTAAACAGCAAGATGGAAACAACCACAAAGAGAAAGCACAGCATGCCACTAAAAAACCCAGTAGACGGTTACTTCATATCTATGAACAGCAGGAGCTGGACACGCCTTTAGTATTTGAGCCCTGTTCAGACACAATTTAGGAATTCATGCTAATTACATGTTATCCTTCTAGTACTTCACTATGCTAAAGGCTCTTCAGTGCCTGGTACTCTACAGACCCATAAACATGTCCAAATCCAACCTCTGGAGCACCCTGCACCTTTGCAGCAACACAACACCAAAATAACTGTTTGATGTAGAGAAACTAAATTGCATAAATGCTGCACTAAGATTTAGGGTTTCCTGATTTTAATCCCCAAAGGAGATGCAGTACTAGCACCAGTCTTTTTTGTAATACCCTTGCCAGTGTGCTTCGTGCCCAACTTTGAATAAATTTAGCGCTGTCACACGAGTCCAAAGTGTACTTTCTGTTGTAAAAACATGTGCATCTGCACAGAAATTACTTTGGTTCTGTAATGTCTCATCTGGTTCACCCCTTCTTTTTCTTAAGCGTTGCCCAGAAGGTCCAATTAACACCGTAAGAAACTCTCATGAGGGACAGTGACCCCTTACTACAAAAAAAAAGACCTTGAAAACCAGAGGAATGAAACAGTTCAGGGACAAAGATAAATAGAGGAGCTCACCACTGGGCTGGCCCGAGCAGAGCTGGCTCTTGAGGATGCCCGAGATCCCGAACCAAGGTAGCAGCTGTACTCAGAAGGCTGCCGCAGGTAAACCAGGAACAGCAAGCAGAGAAAAGAGAAAGGCATTAGAACTGGGAAGAGAGGCAAGAGAAGATGTAGAGCATCTGAAGTTAGTTATGAAAATGGTTTCATGCAACTGGACAAAGGAATAGCAGTGAAAGAGAAAAGACACCTCAAGTGTTAATTTAAAATTTAAGGCAAGCAATGATTCCATTGACAGATCAAGTAGAGTTTTGATTAAATTATTTGAATGACAGAATACTAATCGTTTATTTATATCTCTTAAGGTACCAGTCACAAGTAAACAACCCTAAATTTCTATACAAAAGGCTCCATCCTACTACTTTCCAAGAGCTCTGAGGTTCTCTGGTGAATCTTTTTCCCATGTTTCCAACACTGTGCACGTATAAAGTGCATCTCTGCTCCACAGGCCAAAGCAAGAAACACCCATCTACATGGGGATTAAAGCAAAAACTGAGACCGTCTCAGAGACTGAGTATCTCTCCTGCTTTTCCAGCATCTGCCGTCTTCATCTCCTACCAAAGAAAGTCTTAGCCCTTCTTGAAAGCAAACATCTAAGCAGTGATGCAGAACAGACAGGGCTGGCTTGTTGCTGACAAGCACCAAGAATGTGTCCATTTCCAGAGGTTATAATGCAATGGAAGTAGAGAAGGGAAATTAAAGTCTGAAATATCAGGGGAACAAAACTAAAACTTTTTCTGGAAATAATGAGTTTATTTTATAGGTAATTAAGACTTTTCCTCAGATACAAAAACAGAGAAATCTAAGGAATTATAATACTTTTAAGATGCATATACTCTGTCTTTTCTTAAGGTTTCTTTTATTACATCACATGACCACTACATAAATCTCTGAACTTCTCAGCTGTAGAGACAAGCAGCCCTTCACCAAGCTACTGGAGGGCTGTTCCAGCACCATTAGTCACACTAACAAAGCAGCACAGCATTGACTGGAAATTAGACTTACAGCACTAATAAGTGGTAAGAAAGTAAGCTGGAAATAACCCCAGCTAGAGTACAACCACAAGCTTAGCTACCAACCACAAGGCACTATGTGCAAGGTATACAGCCCTTAGCAAGCCCTCAGGCAGGGCAGAACGTGGCCGAGCCATGTCCTCAGATATACTCAGAGGGAGGCCCTGGCCCAGGTCACCCAGAGAAGCTCTGGCTGCCCCATCCCTGGAAGTGTTCCAGGCCAGGTTGGATGGGGCTTGGAGCAACCTGGTCTTGCAGAAAGTGTCCCTGCCCATGGCAGGGGTGGAATGAGACGATCTTTATGGTCCCTTCCAACTCAAACCACGCTGGGATTTTATGTCTCAGATGACATGACATTGGCTTCACCCATCTGAGCTTTGTTTCAGAGGTGAGAATATGCATAATACAGAATTGTGCTGCACACTGTTTACAGTTACTGTCAGTCACACTAATTTCTAAATTAAAGACAAAGTACTGAAGTAAAAACCTAGATTCTCTTTTCTTATTAAGCAATTTGAGCACAGAAGCCTTGGTCACCACCGGTGGTTTATGTTTAACATAAGAAGGGTTTAGAATAAATTTGAAACATGTGACAGGGAAAAAGTATTAATTAATGATGAGTCCAGTATTAATGTTTCCAGGGCCTATTTATTCTGTGCATTGCAGGGCAGACTATGCAAACAAGTGCGCTTGTTCAGCTCGCTGAGACCAAGCAGGGCTGGGTTCAGCCTCACCCCCAGCATTCACCTGACCATCCAAAAACATTCTTTGGGAACAGCTACCCAAATGGCACCCCCTCTACGTGTTAAAAGGGCTGCAAGGTTCAGAGACAAAATAACCACAGATAACCTGGCAATTGTGACAAGGTCATTCCCCTGGAGGCAAACCCCTCCTACTTCAACTCTCTCATTACTACAGGCAAGCCTTCAACAGGAACTGGAAAAGCTGGGTTACACACAGGCTTCCCAAGACCTGTGGCACAGGGTGGGATCAGGATGGAGGACGGGGAACGAGCAGAAGAGTTTTGTTGAGTATTCCCTGCTCAAGCCACTGACAGCAGATGAAAGACTTGTAAAGAGTTCCTGGGCTGAGAGCCCACTGCAAATGATTTTTTCCCCAGAGCAGCAGTGCATCATCTGGACCTCCGAGGGACTAATCCCAAACATAAGACAACAACCCTTAAAACACTGGGCTACAACCAGCTCAGCCTCAGTGGCAAACTCACTGAACTGCAGGCTGCTGCCACAACACTCCAAACAGTATCAATGAATTGTCTGAGGCAGCCAAATGAAATCAAGGTAGAATTGTGAAACAAAAAGCAACCTGAAGCTTAACATCAGTAGGAAGATGCACAGCACAACTAATGAAACAGTGGGACTGCAAGAGGATGGTGCAGCCCTTTAAAGACTAACAAGTGCTCAGTAAACATTCTGGAAAGTGTTTCCTCCTCCCAGCTAATAAAAATGTAATATTTAAGGTTAAATTAACATTAATGTTTTATCCTGAGTCTTTTTACTCCCATGGTCTTAGATGGTGGATTTTTGTTTGCTGGGGTCCTTTTGGTTGGTTGGTTGAGATCTTTTTTAATAATCAAAGGGCCCCTAGGGCAGGACTTAAAAGAAGATTGGCTTTAAATTTTTTTCACAGGTGGACACAACAGCAGCAGCTGTGCCACCTGGCCCAAAAGCCCATCATGACACAAGGGCCCTCTTTGAGAAGAGGTAAAGCCATTTGCTGCCTTTTAATCTGTAAACAAAGTCCTGAAGTTTCTGTTTTTTGAAAGGAAACAATTTATACTGTTATTCCCCACATTGTTGTTCCCCATCAATGACAGAGCTCTCTGGTCTCAGGAACATGTAATTTGGAAGCCTGGTCATGAGTTGGCATATATATGAATATAAAATATATTTGAATATAAATCCAAAAAACAAACCCAAGCAAGCCACATGTTCACAAAAATCCTCTGCTTCACGCTAGCATAGGATTGCTAATGTAGAACAGATTTTTAACTTTTTTGTTAATTATTTTTTTAAACCTCTATTTTTCTCAGTTTTCCAAAGAAGCATTAAGTCTCAGCAAGGGACAGGACTTCATGTACCACCTTTCCAAGGTGTTTTATCTGCAAACCAAGTGCGAAGCAGGGTCAAATGCCCCTCCCTGCAGATAAATCACCCACTTTTTATTTCATGGAATCTCATGCTGCTCCTACTTATGATGCCCAAAGCAGCAAGCTCTGGATCTCATACACTTCAGCTTAAATGCTCCTCAGCCCAGAAAAGGCTGAGTCCTGGTACATACAGCTAAAGGGAGGACAGAGACACACAGCAGGGAAATGCAGAAAACATCTTACAGCACGAGAACTAGGGGCACTATACCGACGGCTCCCACTGTAAACGCTCTCCTCGTACACAGACGCCTACAATTAAAACACAGAGTCAGCACAGGAGTGGCAGGTCACCTTGCAGGCGGCAGAGTTCCAAACCCACACGGTGCAGCGCGGAGGACGTGAGGGAATGAGCAGGATGTGCAAGGACTGGGACATCTCCTCTGTGCAACCACAAGCAGCATGCAAGGGAAGGTCTAACACAACCTGGAAAACACCACGAGGCACGTGCGAAGTCTGACCCACACCCCGAGCCCCATCACACATCGTGCACTTCTAACCCTTCTCCCAGGGATTAAAGTCAACACTCAATTCATTTCAACAGTTCTACAGCCTGTCAACAAAAAGGCCACATCAATTCTTAAATTGTTTCAGTCTGTTTAACCTTCATTTCTTGTGCTGGCAGTAAGAGCAAAAACTCACACCTGATGAGCTTCACTCACGAGCCAGTTTAGTAAATTAATAAAAAAAGAAGAAAATGTGTATTTAAGACTGACTCCAGTTTAGCATAGAGATACATGGCTCAGGAAACACAAGAGGAGTAGAAACGCTAAGCTTTGAGAAAAAGTTCTGAGAGGCTCATTTTAAATAAAAATGGTGCTCTTTGTCTAAAAAAAAATTGTAAACAGATTTTTGTTAGCTGTTAAACAACCAGAAAGAATTGATATTGCCTCTGTCCTGCTCCTGCTCATACATGGAAACGAAGACAACCGTCTCCAGACAGACAGATACCCGTGACAGCATCACAACCCCACAGTTCCAACAGGAATTAAAGGAAGGATCAGCAAATCCAGGCCTGTACAAACGGCATTACACACATGCAATCAGATGGATCAGACATCACAGAATGAGATTAATGGGCCCAACAGGGACCACAGACAGGTAAGAGACAACATGTGCATGGCTGGAAGTGAGTGGCTTCAGCACTTATGTTTAAAGCATTAGTACAACAAACCCTGTAACTTCTGGCTGGCAGGGCATCGCTGTACAGCAGGGAGGGCTGAGGAAGACAAGCACAGAACTTTTTTTGCAGAGAAAATTGAAACAAAAAAAAAAAGGCGCCTACAGCAGAATTAAGCATCTTGGTGAGCGATTAGGATCATTACACTACAACAGAAGGAAACCCAGCATAGAGAGTGTTAGTCATCTGCAACATAAAAGCATTAGCTCTCAGCTCCCAAAGACTAAGAATACCAACTAGACACGTGCATTTCCTACAGCAAGGGAGGACACGACAGCATGCAAAAGCAAAACAGTGTAATTCAATTTTAGGTTGTCAAGTTGTTATTGTCTCACACACATTTGTGTATAGGAGCCAGAAAGGGTGTTTCTCCCCACTTCAACTAAAGCCAAATAAAAAGCTACACAGAAGTGTTAGAATACACATTTTAAGTGTTTCACACAGATAAAAGATCAACTCTTGTGTATTTTATCATCCACAAATGCAGAGAAAATCCAAATAGTTCAGGAAAAAATCACAAGTACTTAAGTAAGAGCATAAAACAAGTGGTTAGTAACCATAACTCCCGAGATGCAGCAGCCAAACCCTGAGAGCACACACTGTATCTGGCAGAATTAGGTGCAAGGGAACCTCCAGCAATGGTCCCCAGCCCAAGGCTTGCAGGCAAGGTCCTGCTGCAAGCCCCTCCACTGTACATCTGCAGTGTCCCATCACTGCACCGTGATATTCCCGACTGCTGCTCCCAGTGAGGACAGGCTGTGGGCCTGGACCACTGCTCGAGCACTGCCTGCTGGCATGGGGCTGGCTGAGCTCTGCCCACACACGGGACAATCCAACCTCCTGGGGATTTTACAGCCTCAGTGATTCTCCTCTATCAGTTTGGGAGTTGCTTCCTTGTAATTTCATTTCATGCAGACTGGATTGCCTTAAGCTCGCCAGACTGACACCATGACAGAGGAGTTGCCTCAAATAGAGAAATTCAGTTAATTAATATTTCCCTTATTTTTCCAGACCAACTGAAGCCAATATCAGACAAAGTAACAGTAGGAAAGGGAGGAGCAGCAAAGGAAAATTAATTGTGCTCCTTTTAAAGCAGCTTTCCATTACTCATTTCAATCTTCAAAGGTCCGGTTTGGTTTTGGTTGGTTTTTTTTGTGGTTTTTTTTTCAAGTTTTACTTAAAAGAGCTACAGAGTCTCTTGACAATTGGTCCAAATTGATTCCTAAGTACAAGAGGTTGCATTATCCAAATGAAGTCAGGACAAGTCCAGGCCAGGTGAAGCCAGAGGGCAACAGACCCAATTTCCATTTTGAGAAGAAAGCTGAGGTGTGGAAGCGTAGCCACTGTTGTGCAGACCCAGATCAGGGTAGTACGAAGCCTGCATTAATAACAAACAAACAAAAAACCTTTGAGAACTCAGCTTTGTAACATGAAGCCGAGTTCTCAATTCCTTTAAAAGGGGAAGCAAAATGTAAATCAAGTGATTACAAATTGCATGGAGTCAAGGTGGTCACGGGTGCAAAAATAAGAGAGAACTGCATTAAAGCTGTGAGGGTGCGTGAGAACTGTGTGCCCTTTCAGGCACTGGAAAAATGCTTTGGTGAGAGAGCTGGTCGGCTTCCTTCCGAGTTCCTGAGGAGTTTATGCCCTATAAGCTACACCCACAAGAGATTCAGGAGAAGGTGAGATGCTGGGAGATAGAAAGGAAAGCTGGGGACCAGAACTGTTGGGTGTGCCCAGCAGGAAGTGTGGGCAGCCCACTGTCGGATATGGCAAGGCTGAGCGAAGTGGAAACTCTTCTGCAGGAAGTGAGGCTGTCTAAATCAAACACCTTATTTAAATTAAACCCCTCCTTTTATGCAGCTTCCTACCTTGCATCCAGGCAAACCAAGCACTTTGGTCCACCTACTTGGTCTCCCCAAAATTAGGGAGATCTTAATTCAACTCCAAGTTAAACACCTAAAGTAGTAATAGTGACTGACTTACAACTCCAGTGGACTTAAAAAATAACCCTTACCCTCTGAAATCCTTGTTTGCCCAGCATGATATACAACATCTACATTCATTCCCCAGCACCCGTATGGAGTGTAGGATGCCAGGTTAGCTCATCCACTGGCGGGTGTTATCTGTGAGAACTTCCGCTGTGCAAACACCTCAACACAAGCACCCGGGGCTAGCCAGGGAGGCTGACAGCAGGAGGGTATTTATAACAGAATGCAACTCAGTATTTTGGCTTCCCAAAAGCCTTAGGAGAAGCCCCTGTGGATATGTTAGGTGTCTAAATAGAACACGTAACAAGATGTTGTGAAAAACTTAAGTTGTTATAAACGGTTGCTTTTAATATGCAGGAAGGTTAAATTTGCAAGTCAAGGTCTTTTGAATGCAGGTTGGAAACCCACATAGAAGGCATTATGCATTTTACAGAGCCACAGGAATCAGGAGAATACAGGCATACTAGGAAGTGTACTTTGCATTTTCCTTATTTTCAGAAAAAACAGCAGCCTAAAAGCACATCTGAGATGTGCTAAGGCTGTACCAGGGCCAGCTGCACCCAGAGCCAAGTGGCAGGGAATAAAGCTCACCAGGAAGGGGTGCTCGGAGGTGAGCACACACTGCAGCACGAAGGGGTAGAGAGGAAATGCTGCCTCCTCACGTACCCACCCAAATGAAATGACTCGGCTGCTCACTCAGTTCCTGCGAGAAGTTGCAAAGGTATTTTCAAAGCCTCCCAGGCACTGTTTATGTTCCTTATTTTCCCACGGGTGTGTGCAGGCTGGTGGGAACGGTTGTTCTGGAAGATCTCACACCTTCACACCTTCACCTCCTTTGCTACACTCCGGAGCCCTCCTTTTGCAGCTGCTCTCTGACATTGTTTTTATGGGCATTTAAGCAACCAAGATACTCTGGTTTCAGCAGCCAGCTTCCTACAAGCCCTAAGTCATCTTTGCCTCATCACTATGACCCACGTAGGTGTTAAGTGTGTTCACAAAGGAGGGAGATCTATGGCAAATTAAAATAACTTGTTCACCCTTCACACCGGACTTCTGTCACTGCAAGCAAACCAGATGTGCAGATAAGACACAATACCCACAGGCACAGACTGAAGGCAAATCATTGTCTAACCTCAGAAAGAAATAACATAAAAACAACCAACCCACAGATGAAACCCTTCAATCAATGTCTGTAAAATAAGACTTTCACTGAAAAGAAACCTGAACTAAACTAAGCTTTAAGAAATTACTTTCATTCTCACACAGAGAGGCTGTAATCTGCATGTGGACTACCTAAACTCATGGCATTAATCACATTTAAGGAATCAACCTGTGACACTACAAATGCAGTGTCCACATGGAGATCAGTCCTTTCTGTAACTTAAAATTGGACACTTAACTTTGGAAAGAACTATTACCAGCAGACTCGTCCCTCCCCTGGCAATCCGAAGAATTTTTCTCTTCTTTTTCACTGTCACTTTGACATCTTTATGGTTAGCTTTGGGCTTTTTGAAGAGAGGTGAACGCTAGCCAGACTGGCACAGACTGGGTGTGAAGCTTCAGCTATTCTGAGTTACCCCAAACTTTCCTCTGTTAATGATTAATCTGAATTACCTTTAATAATGAAAACTGCATGGAACTCATGATGTTGCTGTAATGAAGCTCTACACAGCCTAAACCTCTCTGCTGCAAACCCTAATAACATGATGATTTTAAATTACTTGAATAGAAGCCAAACAATTTCTTTTCCCTGGACAACTTTACTGCAGGTCTTTTGCTCTCCCTGCAGTCCTTGGAGCACTGGAGTATGTCAGTAAAGAATAAGAACATCATTTGTCACAGGTACTGCACAATAAAGCTCCTTGAACTCGTCAAACTGTCCAGCAAGAGTGCCAATAACAGGACATGCTGTTTTGTTAACAGTTTAAGCAACAGTATTTCATTGTCTCTTATCAACAAACACAAGCTAAATGCATAAAACTAGATGGCAGCAACAATTTAAAATGGACATGAAATATAAGGTCCCGTGTCACTGTTTATCCAAGCATCTGCTTAACTTCATGCTTACAAAGTAACCCCCTGAACTCTATCTCATGTTTAGCATGTATTGCTCAAACACTTGGCTAAATGGAGTCTGAAAGGGAGTTTATTTTTCCCCCAGAAACAGGGCTTTAGTCTGCATACCACTAAATTTCTTTACAAGTTTTGACAGCACAGAGATCACCAGGCTCTGAGCTTTTGTGTGGCTTTGGTAAAATAAAGACAGGCAAAAGAACCCAAACAGTTTCCCTCCTTGGCCCCCAGGCTCTGCTTCAGACAATCCCTTTAAATCATTTGCACAAACCCCAATATTTAACAAAGGAGGAGGATGAGCTGCTATAATTGACACACAACACTTGTGCTGGAACAGAAGAGAACATTGTGACCCGCATACGCACAATGGAGTTAATAATTAAGTTTTTTTTTTTTGGACAAGAGCATGTTTGACAAAGTTGAATAACAATCATTCTGTTGTCCAGCATGTGGAAATCCTCCATGCCAGGTGCTGCCAATCTGTTTCTTGTCACAATTTTAACTTTTACCCAGTTTTGCTTACCAGTTAAGCAGTTCTGCCTTCCAAGTTCTACTTGTACCAAATTCAGAGACTTCCCTTCCCACTCATGGCCTGATTTTTCATTTTTTATTTCCCATCCAGCTTATTGCTGCACCTCCATGTCTGACAAACTCCAAACCCACAACATGCAACGCAGGAAAAACCTGCTTCACCACAGAAAAGAATGTGCTAATTAGCTTTAATCCCATTAAATAGAGCAATAGAATTTTAAAGCAATATAAATCATCTACTAACCCTGCTAGATTTTCTACTCTGGGATGATCCATACAGGTCTTCCTCATAACCATTGGTCTGTTATGGAAGGAAAGGAAAAAGGAAAGAAAAAAAGGAGAGACAAAAATTGACGCAGACCCAAGAGGGAATTTTTAAGCAAATGTCACCACTTACAAAAAGCAAAAGCAGAGAAAGAACTTTTCAAAGATACACCAGGAACAGGAGAAGTGCAGGATGGGGTCATGATTTCAAACATCAGGACACAAACATTTGTGTCAGTATCTGTAAACCAGCCAAAAATGTCAAGGATACTCCTGCCTGCTTTTTTTGACTTTTTTTTTTTTTTTGCCTCCCCTATCATCACTGCTCTATAGCCCCTATCTCTTCAAACACTCTGTGAGGGGAACACAGGACAAAAAGGGGATGAGAGACTACAATCAAAGATATATATCACTATAGTTACTTGTACCTCAGGCAGCTAAGCAGTTAAAAAGCAGCAAATTGTAGCAAAGGACTTAATTCTAAATTTATATTTGTGAAATTCAACTTAGCAAGCATGCAGTGATGTATGAATTCTCTTCTTTTTAGCTCTTCTTTTTAATTTTGAGCATCAAAATTAAACCCAGGCAATGGCCATCTGCCACATCCCAGCATTTTGTGTGGCAGTCTGAAGGCTAATAAGAGATTTGGGTTGGCTCAACTGTCCTCCTCATGGCCAGCCTTGTTGTCATTGAGCTGTTTTCCCTCAGAGAAGGAAAAACAAGCTCAAGCAGGGTGAGATGCTTCAAATCCCTATGGCAGCAGTTCTGGGAATAAAACAAAATGATCACCACGACCCAGTTTTTACTCTGGAAACTGTTGAAGAAAAGAGTACAGACCCAAAAGTCACCTCAATCAATAGCATTAAAAGCTCAGGTTTCTCCAGCAATTCACTGTTCTGGCATCACCTCACAGTGAGCCCTGGTTTAACACTGAAAACTAGGAAGCACTCTGTGTGTTTGAGGTGGGGGTTTTAGTGGAAATTTAATTAGCATTTCAAATGAAGTTCTGAAGTCCAAGCTTTAATATGTTCCTGAAATGAAAATCCATTAAAACCAATCTTGATTCAATTTCCAAGCAAAATATTTATCATCTGCTTTACAGCGGCTTCCATGAGAAATTAAACAAATTAACTTAGAAACCAGTTCAGAGCCAAGCTGGGAACAAACTTCTGGGAAAAGAGAAGCTTAGAATCTCTATTGAAATGCAGCATTATCACCCCAAATGGAGGGCAAACATCCAAGTTTCTTTTTTTCAAGAAAAAATGGTTTGAAGTACTTCTAAAGCCCTCTCACACAGCTTGGCTTCTTTCCAGTTTTTACTAGCTTTTCTTTTTTAAGGTTCCTTGAATTTCTCTAACACTTCCCTGCAGAATGGTTAAAATGGATGATCTTCAGCAACCAAAGGCAACATTCTAGCCCAGCCTCAACAGCACCATGCAGAACTCTTACTTCCACCACCCCTTTTATTACTACAGTGAGGAATTTAGTTTGCTTCTTTCAGCTATGTAATACTGACTAAATGAAACCTCAGATCACTATCTGAACCATCCCATTACTCTGTAATAGTAACTTCATTTTTCCCAGGTGTAGTATTCCTTATTTATTTTTACTGTTATTTACTTTTGACAAGTTGTCTCCTATTCATCATCAATATTTTCAGTCTAACCTCACACGAAACAGCCAGGCAATACAGACTCCAGGAGAGCTGCAGATATGATGTCTTAGATGGGAACAGACCAGCTGAGATCCTTTCCAGCTGTCTCATTTTCTAACAGTTATTTTTCATTCCTTTTACAACAGTACATTCCTTTGACAAGGACTAGATCTGGCCCAAAGTTTCACTTAATGTCATGTATAGACATGCCAAGAGCCTTATAGTCAAGCTATAGTAACATCTCATACCTCTCCTTTATGCCCTTAAATAATTACCCTTCTTAGGGAAGTTAAGTTGATTTGACATAATTAATTTTCTACGAATCCAGGTTAATTGTTTATCACTTTATAGTTCAGGCTCTTCTAAAGGAATTTGTTTCATTTGGTCTGGTGTCTTTCAGATTTCAGACTGAAACCCCATAGCTTAGGTCATTTCCCTTGCCATTGTGACTCATCCTCTCCAGAAACCTCTCCAGTGCATATTTTTGAAGACAAATGCTCCAGACAGCTCTGAAAGAGAAGGGTCAGTTTTATCAGACCTTGCTGACCTTTGTTCTCTGCTATGTTAACATGCTGAACATCTGACCCTAACCCTCATGAAAACCTTAACAAATAAAATTGCATACTAGGGAGGCCAAAAGTACTCAGATTTACTTGTTCTCCCTTTATGTGCCATTGACCCTCGTTCCTCTCTGTTTTTAACAGATGCAGAAAACCTTATTGCCATGATGTCCATTTCTACTTGTAACATTTTTTACCTCAGACTGTGGTTCGTGCTGCTCCTTCAGGCTCTCTCAATCCCACATCCAACTTCTGCTCCTCAGAAAATTCTCTGATTGTTTCCACTGTACTGAAAAACCCCAACCCAGCCTGGCAACCTCTTCCTGCAACGAGGAGGCTTCCCTCCACAGCAGTACACCACTCTGCCCTCTCTTGTGTAACCTTTCCAGCCCCAGAATTGCTCCCCATAAAATCCTCACTGTGTAAAAACACATTATCCTGTATCCTCCCTCCAGGCCCAGCTTTGTGGTGCTCTAAGAAATGCCCTATTTGCACAGATGCTAGTAAGGCATCCATATGTCAGGAACTGTAGTGACAGGATAAGGAGTAATGGGTTCAGACTGAAAAAGGGGAAATTTAGGTCAGATATACAGAAGAAATTCTTCTCTGTGAGGGTAGTGAGGCCCTGGCACAGGTTGCCCACAGAAGCTGTGGCTGCCCCATCCCTGCAAGTGTTCAAGGTCAGTTGGATGGGGCTGGGAGCACCCTGATCTAGTGGAAGGTGTCCCTGCCCATGGCATGGAAGTGGAACAAAATGATCTTTAATGTCCTTTCCAACCCAAACCATTCTATGATTCTGTTACAGTCTCTCAATATTGCTGTGTAACGTTAAACTCAACTGAGGTAGCTCAAGTTAGGTTTCAAGTTTTGCCAGATGTCCTTTATGTACAAGACTGACATAAGGGTTTGGATTATTCCACATTATGCACATGAACTGATGGTCACTATTTGTGCAGACCCAACAACTCCTGATACCGTATCCTTGACACTGGGCTGGTGAGCTCTCATACTTGGACATACTCTTTATCTATCAGAGTGGGTTTATATGTAAAAAACCTCTCTGAGGCTGTTAGTCAAGATACATACTGCTTTGGAGTAGTTCTTCTTTTTGGTCCTCTCATTCTCTAATCCAGCCTGCAGTGAGATTAAGAATGCAGGATGAGAAGATCAGTGAGTTTATGCACACCCATCCGCAGCCAGGCATGCATGTCCACATGCAGAAACATCAGTCCAGCTCTCCTCCAGCTCTACACAACGCAGCTCAGTGAGCACACAGGAAAAAAAAATCAAATCTCAGAGTCAAATGACCAGTTATTAGAGAATATTGTTAAAAGTGATGATAGCACTGTTAAATTTAGTAGCCATAGTTAAAACCATTCATGCTTGCTGGGTTAAGTCAATTTAAAGAGCTACCAGCTGTCCATACTTACTGCATCAATACATCCATGCAAAATCCAAATGTGTTTGAACTATTTCTGTATGTAGGTCACGCACAAATAGAAACATTGCATTCCTAATTGAAAAGAGCGCCGGGAATGAAGGAGAGTGAAAAACCTAGAGAATCTATAAAACTGCGGACACTGAGCACCTCTGTTTCAACACAGTGCTGCCACAAGGCATCAGCAAATATTTTAAACTGAGTTTAAAGTCCCAATCCTCACTGTCCCTTTTTCTGTTCTTCCAAAAGTCAGCTTTGCCTCAGTGTGCACAGGAGCAAATTCTTGTTCTCCTTGTATTATTATTAGTTTGATTTTGTGCTCCTAAGTGAAGGTAACAGCTCAACACAAGCTGCAGCTTTGGTAGGCAGTGTGTTTGTCCCACCACTTTAGCTAGACCTATTCAGAACGAGTTTATGAGTGGTTTATTCCTTTCCAGATCTATGCTGAAATAAATCAAGACTCATCTGGCAGACTGTAACAGAGACAGTCTGTCAGGGGAAATAAAAGCCATTCTGCTCTGTCCTGTGGTAACTACTGAGCTAGACCTGATTCAGATCTCTAATCATTTTGTTGCTCTTCGTCTGAACTGTGTCAGAGCAGTAGGAGAGGGAAGTGACATCTTCACATCACACACCACAAACTGTCTCAGGATCTTTCCAGATCACCCTTATCTCAGATCAGTTATCACAACTTGTGTTAGTTGTTTCTTCATTATTAGTTTTTAAACACACACACTGCAGAGCTTTCAGACTATTCTCACCACTGGGTAGGTGCTGGCATACTCCAAATGAGACTGTAAAGGCATGAGAGGAAAGGAAAATCAGAATCCTAAGAAAAACACTCAAGCAAGTTATGGCAATCAAAAGAATTTCCCAAACCAAATACACAGACACAAAAATAGGCACAGAGGTGTAAATCCCAACTAAAGAACTTTGATAATGCAGGACTTCTTGCACAGAGGAACAAGGAGATACGTGGGAAATGCACAAATTACATCACAAGTGATTACTACCACAACAGTATTTCATGCTGATGGTCTTGGATTATAAAGACAGCCAGCTGAGAAGTGGGAGAACTAGGACAACTGAAATAGAAAAGAGACTGAAGAGAGGCTCAGCAAACACAGGGTGATGTTACTGAGCTTTCCTAGAAAAATCTGCATAATAAAGATTTGAGTTTGCAGAACTCCTGAAACAGATGCTGTTGATGAGTTCAGGATGAGCCACAGAAAAGCTGTTGCAGAAGCCCCTTGGTGGCAGCTGAGGAGACACACAGATACCCAAGCCAGCATTCTATTGGCACCCCAGGTCACTGTTTACAGCACAGTCACAGCTGTGGAGCTTCAATCAATTTGCTGGCCTAGCCTAATCAACATCTCCGGTGGTTTTGCAGGGCGTAGCGCTGGCTCCTCTGCCAGAAGCATCCAGGCCAGCTACCCAAAAGCTACCTCAGCAGATCTCTGGTGCCTGCAATCCAGACATCCACTTAAAAAATATTCCAGGAGAAATAACCCAGAGTAAAACCCGCACAGATTAGTAGGGTGATGACATTTTAAAGAGAAATCAATGTGCAATATTGGCTCATTTCAGTGAAAACTTCCTGTACAGAAGAGTAGCACGGGCTCAAAGAGCAGCCCCTAGGACCATCAGTCCATCACAGTGCAAGGAGCCTGAGTGCCAAAATGCAAGATAAATTTTCCAAAAATGGAAGTTCTACAGAACAATGACAATGACATCCTGCAACAAGGGAAGGAGAGCCTTCAAATATCAAAAAACTAGCCTCATTCAGAATTCTCAGACTCATTTGATAAACCCTTGTGAACACAAGGCAATAGTTTTGGGTTTTGTCTTCAGGCTAAAATAGCTCCAAAGCTGAACTGAACTCTTCAGAGGTAATTTTTTAGGTTGGTCATCGTTCATGGTTTGTTTACTTTGTTGTTTTGAAGACAGACAAAGCAAGAGCCAAACCTTCACAGATCAGCCAGAGATGGTGGCAAACTATTAAAAACATCTACTGTAAGCCCACACCAGGAAAGTTATCAGAGAGACTGTTTTTAAGAGCATGGAGTGACAGGACAAGAGAGAATGGATTCAAAGTGGAAGGTTTAGATTGCAAAGAAATTCTTCCCTGTGAGGGTGGTGAGGCCCTGGCACAGGTTGCCCAGAGAAGCTGTGGCTCCCCCATCCCTGGAAGTGTTCAAGGCCAGGTTGGACTGGGCTTGGAGCACCCTGGTCTAGTGGAAGGTGTCTCTGTCCGTGACAGGGGGTGGAACAACATAAGCTTTAATGTCCCTCCAACCCAAATCGCTCTCTATGTTCTATTGATTAATCGTGAATAAAACAACTAGAGGATGTAGAAGCATAAGTTTCAGTTCAGAGTAGCAAACATTTACATGCTTCTATAACCCCAGTGGCACTTGCAGGAGGGAAGGAAGCTCTGTCAAAACTTTTCCTGTGCCTGAGAACACCCCCTGAATGCTGCTTTATGAGGACAGGGGGAGTCTGTGCAACATCACCAGAAATACCATAGTGGAAAGTTTCAATCAGATCCTTCTGTCAGAGAAACACATTCTTTGCAGAAGTATGAGGAATTTAGGGACCATCCAGTGGACCAGCTGGACACTGCTGTTCACCAGACCAGCAGTGGTTATCGCAGCCTGAAGGCACGTGGGCAGCCCAGAGACTGACTGCTCTAGGAAAAATGGTTGGAAAAGCTTCTCCAACACACAGTGTGGAGGCAGAATGCAAGGCTTCTGCCATTTACATATATATAAAACACAGGACTGTGTTACAAAAACACCTCAAAAGCAATCAGTGGTGTATTTCCACGAACAAAAGGTGTTTAAGATGAAGACGTGCTATAAGCACAGAGCCAGCATTGTGTTTGCACTGTGCCACACCAAGGGACCCACTTACAGCAATGGTTAAACAACCCATTTGTGTTGTCAACACCTTCTAAACAGGAAGAACTGATATTTCAACTGAACTAGAGATTTTTTTTTTCCCCTCCAAAAAACCACTTTCATGAACATGTTGACATTTAACTCTAAGTAAAATAAACATCACTTTTCCTGTTCAGCTGTGAAGAGAAGCTTTTCTTAATCGAATCTTTGGAGCTTTGAGGCATCTTCTAGCTTTAAAAAGCACTCAAATAAGTTTGCAATCTTGAAGAATAAAGATTTTAACAGCATTTCATAAGTAGCAATAAGGATTCCAATAAAAAGGGAACAAGGCAACACTAAATATTTTTAAGCGTACCTTGAGCTATTGTGAACAATATTTGGGATCACTGAGCCAGCTCTGCAGTAGCAATTTTTACTTATTTGTTTGTTTGTTTATTTATTTTTAAATGGGTCCTCTAAACTCTACACTAGACCAGACTAAAGGCTTATATACATGTGTATTATCTGGGAAAACACCATCTGGATATTCTGAAGAAAAAAACATTTGAACTTTTCCTACTACGAATGATGAATACTCTGTGCTTTATTTTTCTCCCTCCAGAAAACTTAAGCCTGCAAATGAATTTCAAGTATCTCTAAAGCATTTTTTAGGAGAGTAACCAACGACAGAACCATAGGGAACGTCAGGGAGTTGTGTCAGGGGAGGTTTAGGCTGGATATGAGGAAAAGGTTCTTCCCTCATAGGGTGGTTGGGCACTGAACAGGCTCCCCAGGGCAGTGGTCATAGCCCCAAGGCTGACAGAGCTCAAGAAGCATTTAGACAACACTCTCAGGCACATGGTGGGATTGTTGGGGTGTCCTGTGCAGGGCAAGGAGCTGGACTTGAATGATCCTTGTGGGTCCCTTCCAACTCAGGATATTCCATGATTCTATGGGTATTCACCTGCAATTCCAAAGGGCTTAAGACTTATTTCCACTGATTATTTTCTACTGGTTTCCTGAGCTAATAAACACTGATCCTGCAGTAAGTTAGCACTTCCTTTTGAGTATCAGAAATGAAACAGGGGAGCTTACAAGGTGCATGCAAGAAATAGCGGCCTACACCAACGTCTTGGCTCAGTACTTCCTGCAACAGCAAACAGCATTTACCACAAAGGTTCCTGCACAGGAATTCATGCTCCTGCACACTGCACACACATCTGACAGTTCCCCTGGCTGACAGAATTATTGGTCCACGTGTTACTCGAAAAAAACCAACACAGAACATGTTAAGACCTTGAAAGGATGATACTATGAGAGCACTACAATCAGTCTGGGGTGCAGGGAGACAGTGACATCCACACACACACACACAGAGAGAAATTGTACAATTTACCAACCCTCAGGCTTCCACGGCTACCCACTGACATGCGCTCATCTTCATCCGAAGCCTATCAAGAGAAAAGTATAAACACAGAAAAAAAACCAAAACAATGAAAAGAACACAAGTAACGGGCAGTGAGGTAAATGCTGATGGCTTTGATGCAACAGAAGGCAAGAGAAGATGTACAAAATAAATGTAGTTTTAAAAGAATTGCATTAAAACTATAAGTAGAAAGTATATGAAATCATACTCTGCCCAAGAAACACTGTCAAGCATTTTACTACAGCTTGCTTGGGTGCTCCCTGCTCTATGCTCTTGGCCCTCGGTCTGAATAAATGAATGTTAAACACTCCAAGCAGGTTATTTCCCCACCTCCCCCTCCTTTTATCTTGCACATTGGCGAAAACTCCCCAGAGTGTCTGGGGAGAGAGCAGAGAAGTCAGGAAGTGGCTTTGGGGTTTTCACTTGCCTGGGGTGGGGGAAGCTTTTTTTGGTTTGGAGTTTGGTTTTTTTTTAAGAAGGAAGTTCCTTATACTTGTGTCTTCCCTTAATTTGAAATGTCTAGCTAAACAGAAGCAGCAAAAGGAGATACTAACCGAGGCATTTCTTCGGGCTCTACGGGAATAACGCTCACTGTCTTCCTACCAAGGCAGCAGAGAGAAAACAGAGGGAAGTGTTGAGAGGACAGAGACACCAACACAGCGTTCCAGAAACACACTGTGAACTTCAGCCACTCTTGGGAGTCAGCAACATTAAACCAAATAAACTAGAAAATCCCTTTCTCCCTCCTTTGTGACCCCAACTTTTTTCCCCTCCATTTTACTCTGCTACGCATCATGTTATTACTTGTGCAGAAAACTTCAAGCAGCGAAGCCTTATTTCTATCTCAAAAATGTTTCAAGTGCATCTCTTCACATGTGGGCACCGGTAATACTTACAGGGCTTGTGTAATTAAGTTCTCCAGTCCTTCAAAATAAACCTCAAAAATCTTCCATTTGAAATAACATGCCAGGGCCATGGTCTCTCCCTACTGAGTATCCCGGAGGGGGCACAGCCTGGCCCCTTCTTCCAGACCAAAAGCAGCTGTGCTCTGCTTACAGCCTCTGTGACACTGTCAGATGTAATACATCTCTCAATTGCAGCAAATTGATTTTCCATGGAATTTAGAAACAGCGATAGAAAACAGGAAAAATAAAACTTTCACCATTGTAGTCAACAGTTCTCATAGGTGAACGGACTTCCAAGCAAGGGAATTGCCAGTAAGGTGCAGCTAAGCTCATCCAGCAAGGATTTGAGGAGACTGAATGGCTTATTTGTGAGACTGGAGCACCTTGGTGGATAGGTGGTCTCTGCAAACAAGTATTACACTGATTTATTATCAAGGGTCAAGGAATTTGGGGAGTGTGGGAGGTTATCTTCCACACTGGAAGCCAGTTGTTTGGCTTTTCCTTTTCCAGTGTGCTTGTAGGGCAGGGCCATGAACCAGAGTTTTCTTCTGGCATCCCTGGAAAGTGATTTTATAAACTTAGGGTTGAAAGACATCTGAAGCCAATGACTTCCAGTCTGTTAGCAACTTCTTTATCTTTTATTACAGGAGTTAAAACACTCAGATGTTGCTAATGGCCAAGTTTGTATCAACTTCAAGTTGGTATCAACTTCACTGGCTTTGGCAAATTGTAAAATCCAGGACACTGTATTATCAGAAAAAGCAAACATTGCCACCGTAGCAGTAATAATTCCTCTGAAGAGAATGAAGTACCCCTGGGCCACTAAGTGCTAAGGTAACTGAGGCAGCACAGATAAAGCACACCCACAATTTACCTGTGAAGGCAGATTTAAGAAGACTCAATTGGTAATGAAACCCACAAGAAGTAAAATGAGTATGAATATTCCTTGTATCTGAAGGGGCTTTAAAAAGGTCTTTATTCTAACCTAATCTTCAAGCGATAGCGTGGAGACAGAGGTCTGTTAAAAGAGGTGGCTCTAACCCAGCCCTTGCCAGTTTGAAGCTGATTAAAGGCCACATTTCAGGTGGAAATGCAGGACTGCAGGAATGCTTCTGGCACGAGTGAAATTCACATCTCCAACACAAGAAAATACCTACTTTGTGGGATTTCAAACTCTGTGAACTATACAAAACTTCAACACATAAAAGCTGTTGAGCTACGTTGATCAAGTCCTACCATCCATTGCTCGATGTCTCCCCACTTAGTATCCAGACCATAATATTTCTACAGACAGAAAAGGGAAAAAACCAGAATTTAGATGAGAAAAGCAAACACAGAACATTTAGGCATGCATTGCCAGGTCTTGGCTGAGCCACGCAGCTCCCTCCACACACACACAAACATGCCAGGAAGAGCTGTGCCAAGTGGCACCGGAACCCTCCACGGCACATGCCCGGGAAAAGCTGCCTGGCAAGAGGAGAGGGGTTTTTGGGGTACAGCTGGGATACTTGACAACTTCTTCTCTCTCAGCAGTGCAGAAATCCCAGCAGTGCTGGGGGACAGAAGCAAGGAGTGTAATGAGTCTTGAATTTCTGACCCATTTAAGTCAAGAGTCATTACAAGGGAGGTGAACGCAGGACACTTCCAGGATGAAAAATGCTGTCAAATCATGTTCCCTGTACAGATTTGTCAAACTGGGCAGACAAGTTGAATACAAACCATCTCTGTGGGCTCTGATTTGCTGTATTCAGAGCTGCCCAGAGCTCCATTCAGAGCACGAGGCTTTTTGCCTTCACTTCAGCCATCTGACAGTGGTGGGAGCGCCAATAAGGATAGAAGAGGACAAGCTCCACCAATGCAGGCAAGGCTGGAAAGCTCCCTGCCTTTCAGTTCCAAATGCCATGAATTTTCTTAATAGACTGTCTCATCTGAACTGCTTCTCAGCTTGTAATTTCTTTGCATGATCTCGTGGAGTTCCCAATGAATTTGAATTTCCACCAGGCAGCAAATCGTTCAAAGATACACAGGTTTAAGGGGACTTTTCTTCCTCCCTTAACAATCATGCCAACTCTGGTCTCAGGAATTTTGCATTTTTAATGGTGATCATAAGGTTCCCAGGGGAAGAAAAATCACTGGCCTAAAGCACAGCAACAGCCAAATGGAAATCCTGCTTAAGGAAGCATAATACGTATTTTAGAGCTTTCCTACGGGCTTGAGGAGACAGGAGTATCAACAGTTGAAACCTTAGGAAATGATAAAAGAAAATCACGTGTTCTGTACTGCACTCTGGTTTTACCACTCGCTCAATGGTACTAATGTAATTTTGCTTTCACCCTTAAAAACCTCATTCACTAGTTTATTAATACACTAGAACCAACAGCTATGTGATCTTTGATACTGTATCAGTTTATTTCCAGTTCAGAGTTCTTCCTCTTCAAACAACAAAATTGTTTTCATGTTAAAGTATTCTTCATTTTACTTTATTCCCAACAGCTCTGGAGAGAGCAAAATAGGTAGTGAGGTGCTCAATTACACATCCTGGATAGTCTGAACTGTTCAATGACCTACCTTTAAATGCTACCAATATTGAGGACAAACCGTGAAAAGGCAGGAGCTCGGAGCAATCCCAGTTATTAGGAAAAATATTAGAAAATAAGTTTTTAGGTCAGTAATTTGAAAACAGGAAATAAATTCACTGCATGGCAGAGTTAAGTAGTATGTCAACATATCTCTGGAACAAGGAAAAGAGACAACAGTTCGATAACCTCTTTAACCACTTCCCTATGGGAACAGGGAAGTATTCCCCTCTGCTTTCCCTGCAAAGCATCTCATTGTGTGTTCAAGAATATCCCATTCCCTACACAATGCCTAGCCAAATTACACACAAGTGAAAATTCCCCCTTGAACTACAGGAAATCTGAGGGCACGACATGAATCGTTTCTTCAAGCGTTGCACACTTCTCACAAGGGCTCAGACTCGTTACTTCCAGGTAGAAGCAAAACCCACACAGCAGAACGTTATAAAATTAACTTTTATGTACATCACAGCCCAAAAATGACCCCTGAAAATTCTATAAGCTCCAGCTGGTCAGGGCTGTGTACATGATAAAAACCTACAGATTATATGGTTTGCAGTAAAGCAGGTCAGGTAAAGCCTTATTAGAGGCTTTTCAGCCATTAAGAGACATTAATTTTAAAAAACACTATTAAAATGGAGAATCCTTTCTCACACACAGAAAAGACCCATAAACACACTAGTAATTTCTGAAAGGTCTGCTGCTCCTTTTTCCTGCCTTCTGTTCTCATTTTCTGACACTGGCTTCTGAATTCAGCATTGTAAAAGGCAGATAAGGAAATACCCCTTATAAGACTTGCTGTGTCACAATTTAAGTTCTACTTACAGGCTTCTCCTCCTCCTCTTCAAATTACACAGCCACAAGCTTAATATCCCCTAACGAAAAATCTTAATGAATGCAACCGTCTTGAGACTATTTTTAATCTATTATCTTTTAAACAGCACATGTCATATGGGACTGAACAGGCAGCTTTTGAAGTCTAAAGTATTTTGACCCCTCAGCCCCTTCCTATTTATTTCTGTGCACTGACTCTTCTGTTCTGTCCCCAGGGGCCTGATTCGAATGGGTTAAAGGAAGAAATGGTGCTTAGCCATTCACTTAGGCTTCAGATAGAGGCCCTTGCCAGACTCAAGTTCCCTTCTATCCTGAAAAGTGATATTAAAATTAAATAATTAATGACGTTAATACCATTGAGAGAGAATTCCAGATGCGATTTGCTCACTAAGCGACAGTGAAACTGCCAGACTTGCAAACTCACTACGGGATGCTGGGAGGATAACCCACTTATCTTCTCATCCATGTCAGGACACCAACAGTAAACAACCTCCTGGGCTCCCACGGGGCTGCGTTTGCACCAGCAGGTTAAATTAGTTCCCATAAAGGAGATTAATAACGAGCCTGTTGATCCATGGGCAGACGTTGAGTCACTCACTACGCAGTCAACTCCAGAAATAAAACCAAGAGTAAGATAGATTTGTTGCTCAATCGATGGGGTCAGGGTTAAATACCAGAGCACATGATTTGAGCAGCTCTCTTCATATACATACGCACTCAAATTGGAGAACAGCACTTCCAAGAAGCACATGCACTGCTAGGTCAAGCTTGAAACATGCAGTTAGGGCAGCTGGAGTGCCAGAACAAAACCAAACACGCCGTGGTTTTAGGACACATTCATCACTCAGCAAGCAATCAAAATATCTCAGGAAGCAAAAAGGAAATATTCAATAAGGGAGAAAAGGGCAGGCTTAAAGAAATATGTGCTTTCTCCCTCCCTGTAAATCCTCTTTGGAGCTATTTCTGTTTCTAGGTACCACATAGTTCAGATGCTGGAAGTGTAGAACAGCCAAACATCATAACACAAACTCCAAAACCTCTGCTGCTACATATCAAGTGGCCTAAGACCTACTATTACCATCATCATCTCGGCCACCATCATGAAAAGTAACTTGGGAGGAGGGAAGAGATCATGACTTAAAATTGAGGTGAGAGAGGATTAAATAATGTAAAAGAACTTATATCGCTTAGGTGCCATTGGAAGGACGGTCATTTGGTTTATTTACCAAAAGATTATGAATTCAAACACAGCATCGCTGATTTCCTTCAGTGACTTTCTGCAAACAAAGTCATCTGAAAGTCATTCTTCCTGCTGGCACCTGTTAAATGCTTGCCCAGCCTGAAATACTTCCAGGGATACTCTTGGCCTTTGGCACACAAATGTTTGTGTGGTTCTGGGTGACACACGGAGCCACCATACCCTCCTGTGAGCCCGCCCTGCCAAGTCACTCTTCTGTTTATTGCTTATTCTTTGGCCAAACAGGCTGTAGAAAAAGATCATATTAAGTGCCTGACCAGACATTTTCCATGGGTCATCTTCCCCCCACTCCCCTTTATCATCCACACTACAAGACTAAGGGAGGGAAGGGAAGAATTTCATGGAAATTTACAGCCTGCTGTGCATCTCCCATTCTTTAGAGGATTTTCTAGGTTGGGCTCAAAGATCTTGCAGGTCTTTTCCAACCTAAATGATTCTGTGATTCTGAAATTCTAGCATGACTCACAACACAGGAACACATGCAAACAAGAATGAAAGCGAGCAAGCCCTACCTTCTGGACTTGATAGATCTGAGGGAAAAGTGAAAGGAAAGAAACAAGGAACAAAGCTAAGCATGAATGGATACATAGCAATGCAACATTTCACAGCTCATTCTAGAGGGAAAAAACATAATTTTTTACAGAAAGTACAGCAAAACATGAGTACAAAGAAGTGCATATCAAAGTCCTGTAGATTTAGGTAGAACAAAAGCAGCATTCGCACTGTAGGCCTGCTCCATGCACCCAGCTACAACACAGTATTCCTGTTTTCATTCCCACCGGGCCCTTAGAGGCACATGGGACATTTGGTCCCCAGGCTTTGCACCAGGCCAGAGCCCAGCCCAGCAGTGAGCCAGGTCCTCTCGCTTTCCCAGCCTCCTCCATCACAGGAATGAATGCCCAAATATTCACCTGGCATGACAGCTGTGCATCTATCACCAAAATAAAAGCAAACAGTATCAAAAAAAGAACAATTTGTCTGTAGTTAAAGGACAAATTTTGTCCTTAAGGGATGAAGCACGGTTACAAAACCACCAACCCTACACACCTTTCACCTATATACAGCATAGCCAGCTCCTGGAAAATTCCTTGCAAATACATTGCCAGCACTGGAGGATCTCTGCAGGTTGCTTTTTCAGTATTTAATGTTTCCAGGGAGCCTCATGTTGTTTTCAGGACTTAATAAATACACTGCTGACTCTTTGCTCGATAATCTTGGAGCACTTTGATAGTGCACAAAAGCATTACGGTCACTCTACTACATCTGAATTTGAATAAGTGGAGAACTGCCCCTGACTGATCAACTTTGGAAACCCACGTGAAAACAGAAAACATGTTTTTTTCTTTAATCTTTCCTAAAGCCAGAAACCCTTCTGGGTTCAAAAAACCCAAAGAACCCTTCTTCTTAAAAAACACCTAGCTAGCTACACAAATCCAGAAGGAAGCTGAAGTTTCATTCTCCCCACTTCCCTGCTGAACACCAAGCTCTAGATCTTCAGGAAACATATCCCAGCTCTGGTCCGAGAGTCCTCAGCTGCCTCACTGATGATCTTTTGAGACAAGCAGAGACACTGAGTAAACACCATCAGACCGCTGCTCTAGGGGGGAGGGAACATACACTGCTCCGACTCCAATCCTCCAGTGGGTCAGCAGGCAGCAGGGTAGTCAGTCTCCTGTACTTTGGGGTATTCAGAGGATCCCTGCCACCCACTGCTCTCTGGAACACCTCAGAGAAATCCAGATCCCAGCTCTGGGAAGCTGAACATACATTTTTCAATCCCTGCCCTCCTGATCAGGTTCCCCTTCACGAAGGACAAGTGCAGAACCCAAATTAATACCCGAGCAGCATTAATTCCCACTCCAACAAGCGCAGGGGGGATAATTAGGACCCGCATTTAAAACCACCATTCCCACACAAATTAACTACCTTGCTTACCTTCTCCTAAGAAAGCCCTGAAGAAGAAAATTAACTAGGTGCTCCCACAGTTCCCAAGACTGCACACAATTCCAGTCTCTGGTTTTTCTGTGGCACACACAGGGTGCCTTTTGTCCATACACAGAAGCCAAGCACCACAGGTTTAATTGCCGCAACTACCACGCAGCTGTTTAGGCTTTAACTTTTCAGTGCTGGTTTTTTGCCCATGCTTTCAGGCAACACCGTGGAAGTCTTATTTTTGAAACCCCAGTTCTTCAGGGTTGGCACAGAAGGTATTCCCACTGAGTCCAAAAGCAAGACATGCAAGGAGTCTTGTGCCCGGGACTCTGATTGCCAACAGACAAGATAACAAGGAGGCCCTTGTTCAGACCAGGCACCACGGAAGGAGGTGGAGAGGGGCACAGGGATAAAGCCAAGTGCATCATCGTAACTGTTCCAGTGTTTTATAAAACCTGGAGTTCTGAATGCTAACAGGCATTACAACAGCTCTGCTCTGAAGTTACTGATCCCTTGGCAGTGTCCTAGTGGGACGTGTCACAGCCCATGGCAGGGGTGTTGAAACTAGATGTTTCTTAAGGTCCCTTCCAACCCAAACCACTCGAGGATTCTGTGGTGATACTGTCCTCCTTAGATGGTATGTTACAGGAGAAAACACACTTCTAAACAATAATTCCTATTGCAGGTGTGCCCCCCACAAAAACTTAAGAGTCAACAGAAACCTAAGCAGTCAAAGGTCTTAAACAGTACTTTCCTGTATTAGGGTATGACAAAAAATCCCAAATGTGTTTTGTCCACAGTATTAGTGGCAGACTGTTTTCCTGGTTTCCCCATCACAGATGTTTTCCCACAAAAATAACGTTTTTCATAGAAATAGCTTTAGAACAGCACAGAACAAGCCAGTGATGCATTGTTAGATGGTGGCAGAAGTCCAGAGTCTACTAAAAAAACCTTCAGTATTGTCCCTTTCCAAATTTTCCTGTGCATCTTCACACTGGCTGTGTAAGACAGGTACAGATTAACCATCAGAAAACTTCTCCATTTCTTCCCTGCATATGTAAGCACCGAGTTTCACAGTCAGTCTCACCCTTCCCATTCAAGCCACAAGAATTTTGCTTTTCTCTATCTTTTCTTTTCCATTAAAAAGTATTGGTGGCATACTTTATTCTAAGGAAATACGAATCCAAAGGAGGAAAAGTGAGTAGGCTGGTAAAGAAGGAATTTACAAAATAGCCAAGGCAAGTTTTGTGCTGTGCCCTTAAAACAAGAGCTGAAAATGAAAGCAGGAGACTAGCACAGTGCACTTGCCTTGAACTAGAGGGCTCATCTAATGTGCAAACTGACAAGGAGGAATCTTATCCAGTCGATTAAGGAGTGGGAGGAGATCACTGTCTTTTCACTTCAGGCACTAATATCAGCTTAAACTGTGGTCTCCAAGTGTCAGTCCTCCAAGAGACATTTAAAGCCTTGCCAGCAGAACACACAGAAGGTACTCCTACAGGAAACATTCTCTACAATTAGCCTTAACGCTGCAGCTGTTACGTGTCTTGAAACATTCCTGTTAAATACTGCTTGGGAAAAAAAGGCTTTAGTGCACCTCATGTTGAGCTTCTGAGAAAAAGGAAAAAAAAATGCACAGGAAAAAAACTATTCTTTCCATTTTACCTGGCAGCCCCACGAGAATTAACAACTTGTAACTCAGAAAAACTGAGCTGAAAACTCCTGACTTGCTCTTCTGCGTGAATTAACAATAAATATATGAGTGTACACAAGCATTTGTCTCAGGACCAAGCACAAGTACAAGCCAAAGGGACTGGCCTCAGACTCTGCAGCTGAAAACCAAATGTTTAAAGGCCCTGGCAGCATGGTGTGGTAAAAGAGAACCCATCATGGCTCTGACTCCCACCAGCTGGTGGGTATCAGCGGTGTGGAAACAGGGAAGGGAACAAATACCATCTAATGTAATTGTCCGTTCAGCTCAGAACATGCACTGGCAATGAGAGCTCTCCTGCAGTGACTTACTGTGTGTGGAAGCAAAACAGCAAACCTATCCAGGCCTCCAGATTAATTATTTACATCTTTGGTGAATAACAACAACAAAGCAGCACTGAATGAGAAATCAGAAACGTTCAAGCTCTTACATTTGTGTACAAGGGGTGATGGCTTCAAATTCACAGAGAGTGGGCTTAGATTAGGTATTAGGAAGGGTGGTGAGGGCCTGGCACAGGTTGCCCAGAGAAGCTGTGGCTGCCCCATCCCTGGAAGTGTTCAAGGCCAGGTTGGACAGGGCTTGGAGTAATCTGGTATAGTGGAACCTGTCCATGGAAGAGGGCTGGAACAAGATGAGCTTTAAGGTCCCTTTCAACACAAACCATTCTGGGATTCTGTGACCAGGTCATGATTCCTGTGCTTATTTTCTTTCTTCAGCTTCAGAAAACACTTTTCATCTACCCAGTTTACACTTTACTATAAACTTGTGTTTGTGTTCTCCTTACCTTCCTCTCCTCAGAGAAGAAAAACTCAAAAACCCAAAGCACTGGTACACTTATCCTTCTTTCTGCTGCCTGGCATGAGGTTGTGGGAGGTGATGCCATGATACCACCTGTGGGACACACCTGCAATCGTGCCCCACCACAGTGACCGGCTGCAGCCTTCCTTCCACAGGAACTTTTCCCACATCTCCCCCTGCAATCAAGTGTTTTCTGCCAAAAGCCCATCTGTTTCTGCTACGTAATTTCTCCATCGTATGTGTAAACTCGCGATGCGAAAGTCACCTGGTTATTTTAAAATGAGGAAAATGAAGCACAAGATCAAGAAATGTTGTTAATATTAGGGGGTGGGCAGGAGAGGAGCCAGTTGCCAAATCCAAATTATTAAAACACTCTGCTTCTCTGCCAGCGAGGGCTACACTGCCATGGTTATAGCCTGTAATGGTAGCACCTGGAAAATTTTAAACCAGACCAGCATTATAAATATATTTTCAAGTAATCCATGCTCCACAGGAAAGCCTGCCAGGGCATGTACAGCGCTTTAAGCATGAACAAGTACACGCACATGCAATAAATTTATTTATTGCTTTTTAAGTGCCACAGCTGGCTCTAAAAAGCCTTCTGAAGTAGTAAAGTAAGTGCTTTAAATTCTGGTTATTTAACATGGCAGTAGTGGAAAAGTGCTCTTTAAGTCTCTGAAAAGTTTGCAAAGGGAAATGAGGATGGCAGATGACAAGCTGTACAGATATCAGTGTTACAGTAGGTTCCCCAACAAGGAAGGGGTAGGTGCCAAATCTCGTGTTGATCACTGCTTGAGATTTTCTATATTTTTTATTTTACCTGCAGGATACTTGTGGCAAGGAAAAACTTTCTCCAGACAACCCTAACTAGCTCTACCTGGCATCTGAGGGCTGAGATTAAGCTGTTTCGAAAAGTTACAGAATACCCGAGCTTGCAAAATACAAAATAAATGTGTAGTCATATTATGTCATTTATGCCAGTGAATTACAAAGGAGATTGTGGCTGAGCTTTCACTGAATGTGGTATTTCAGAGGGACATCCTGTCCTATTCGATTCCTATCTCTAGGAAATTTGTCACAGATTTTCAGATCACAAGCTCCTCAGTGATTAAGTGCAGGAGCATGCACACAAGCTTCAGTTTTCAGACCAAAATTTCAGTTCATTAGGGCACCCTTTGCAGCATCAGCTTTTAATCTTCAAAGGGGTCATTAGCTGCACTCAAGTTATCTGTAAATTAGATGGTGTCAGCTGCCGTGACTCTGGTATTTACCTTCCTGCCCAAACAAAACACCTGGTGCTTGTTTACCACAAGCCCTCCCACGGGCTGCCTGGCAAGTCCCACCGGGCTGTCGGCAGCTTGGCAGTGCCAACACTTAGACCTCCCGACCGTGGGCCAGGTTGCAAAAAACATCCTTTAGAAAGCAGCAAATGCAGCAGGAAAAGGCTTCTCTCTCTTCCACGAGCTCTGTGTCTGCAGCAAGGCTCCCTCACAGCTCTCACTGCTGCTGTGTTTGGAGGTACATCAAACCCTGCTGTGGCTACAGGGTGCTGAGACACATCCAGACATACCCCACCTGGAGGAGACGCTCCAAAAGCTGGGTGTGGGTGAACTGCCAAGCGCTTCTTTTGCGGGCTGGTTGCTGCAGCCTGCACTGACACTGGTCTGCCATCATCCCCTCATCCATATCCTGATTCACTGCTTAGAAGCTACACCGAGTCCTGAATTCTATGCACCCTAAAGCACAGATGTAGAATCACTGAATTACAGAATGGCCTGGGTTAGAAGGGACCTTAAAAATCATCCCATTCCAGCCCCCTGCAGGAATACCTTCCACTAGCCCAAGTTGCTCCAAGCCCCATCCAACCTGGCCTTGGACACTGCCAGGGATGAGGCAGCCACAGCTTCCCTGGGCAACCTGTGCCAGGGCCTCACCACCCTCAGAGGGAAGAATTTCTTCCTAATATCTAAACATACTCCCTTTCACTGTAAAGCCATTCCCCCTTGTGCACTATGTGCTCTTGTGCATTTATTCTACGTATTCCCACACCCTGACCCCAGATTCCCTACTACTTCCTTTGCCCTCAAAAATCTATGGAAAAAATTAAATTGTTATTACTGTTGGCCTTGTAATGCCTACTCTGCTGTTTCACTTCATCAACATCAACAAATACAAGTTTTAAGCCCTTTTGGTTCAGTTCACCTGTGCCAACCCTTGCTTGCAGCCCCATTCCAATAGCACCAGTTAATCTTCTAGAGCTCCTAAACAAATGCTGCTCCCAGTTTCTTGTAGCAGTGACGCTGAGTACTTGTCAAACACAGCAGGAGCAGGACAAGCTTTCTGGTCTTTGAGATCATTCCTGTGCTGGAAGCGCATGACCTCCCACGTGCTGACAGGTAGAGGCACAGGAACTCTGCTGGTGGTATAAAGCAACCAGCTCTTCCAGAATTTGGGAGAGACTACAAGCAGGCATTTAATCCAAATTCTTTGGAGAAGGTAATGCTTTGCCAAGTTCAGTTTCTGTCGCTGCTCCTGCCAACAGCAGACCATCCTTTTTACAAACTGGGGGAGAGCCCAATATCAGCTTCACAGCAGAAAGCAGAACAACTTACAATAGAGTTATACAAGGGCCAGGAGTCTTCCATATTCATTAGATTTCTAACGAAGTGATAAGAATCCACCACCCCCAATGCACACACAAAGAAGCTGCATACTTCAAAGTTTAATATTAAGCAATAATTACTAACCACCAGTATTCTCTGTGAATAATTACACTGGCTTCAGCAAGATAAAATCCTTGCCACGATCCATATTTTTTCCAGGCTGTTCTAAGGTTAATATTAGTTCCACGCAGACTATATGTGTTTCCAACAGAATATAGATTAACCCTCTCTTCCACAATCTCTGATCGTCTTCTTCCCTGCATATAGTCCAAACACCCCCCAAGAGCCTTGACCTTACCTCCTTCTGCTGTCTCTCCAGTTCTTTCATTCGGATCTCCCGTGCCTCTGCCCGCGCCGCTCGCTTCGCCGCGAGCCTCGCTTCAGCCTGCGAATGGGAACACAGGAATGAAATGAAAGCTGGACAATCCAGCGTGAAACACACCTGTTAAGCAGGGCGTGAAACAAGGAGGCTTGACTAGGCAAGACTGTGAACACATCCGTAGGAGTTAATTCCCTATTGCAAGTAATGGCCCTGCCTTCCATAACGTGTTATCTTCACAGCTAATACACCCCCACGAAGGCACAACCCTCGTTAGCACTTGTGTTTAAAAGTGCTTTGTGTCTCTTTAATTACTGTTTGTGTGGCTGGAGAGGAAACAGGGAGATTTACTTAAGAAAGGCGGGTTTTGCTCTTTTTGTTTTGGGTGGGTTTTTTTCCCCTCCCCTGCGGTGTTGGATTATTTTTTATTGATGAATTAATTTGACCAGCAGCAAACACATCATGTGCCTTTTTTCCTCACCGCTGACACTGCGCACACATACCTGGGCACAGGGGTTGGGTAAACACTGCTGTTCAGCATGACTGTGCACAGCTAAGGCTGAAATGATGGAGGGTAAGGAACCTGAAAAAATGCAATTATGAGTCTCCAGAACTCCATATTCCAGTCCAAACCTCTCTGGGGTGGAATTCTGCCAGGAACAGGCCTTTAGGGAGTGCTTCCTCACTTCAGCCCTGTTGGAAGTGCTGGAACATGCTATACATTGCAGTAACATTTTTAATATTCTGCTTTAAATCCCAGGCAAAGCCAGTAGGTCTTACAGAGGAAAATGTGAAATTAGTTCAGGCTTGGTACAGTACAGCTGTGAGCAGCTCACCCAGCAGAATTCAGAATAGCTCAGCAGGGAGTCAAAGGCATCACTCAGCCAGTCACCCTGGTGTTACACCCAACTCCTCTGCTTCTGAAACTTTCCACTCCAAGTACAGCATCCAAATTTACAGGAAAAACTGCAGTAATATCAAGGTCAAGCACACAGATAAATCAAAATGCTGATGTTTTCACCAGTGCTTCTAAACAGAAGGGAAACCAGAAAAAAAGGTATAATTTCTTTTCCCTTCTGTAAGTGTATTCACCACTCAAGCTTGGGGAAAAGGGCCTTCAAAAACACAGCATAAAACACAGAAAAAAAGCCAAAAATTGCCTTGTAGGTTGGCTGGAATTTGCAACTAATAGAAAAGAGCTAATGAAAACCAAGCATAAGCAGCGTAGGGAGGACTGGGAGCCTTGTGATGCTGTACATCTTAAAACCTCAGTCTGCAGAAGAGAAGACCAAGAGATGATCTCATCAGTCCATACATATATCTCCAAGGCAGGTGTCAAGAGGATGGTGCCAGACTCTTTTCAGGTGTACCCGGCCACAGGAAGGGGAGCAACGGCCATAAACTAAACCACGAGAAGGTCCACCTTAACATGAGGATGAAAATCTTTCCATGGAGGGTGGCACTGGAACAGGCTGCCCAGGGAGTTCATGGAGTCTCCCTCTCTGGAGACATTTCAAACCCACTCAGACACGTTCCTGTGTCTCCTGCTCCAGGTGACCCTGCCTGGGCAGTGGGGTTGGACTGAAAGATCTCCACAGGTGCCTCCCAACCCCAATTATCCTGTGATTCTGTGAACTTCAGTCTGAAAAATTACTTGTAATAGCAAAAAAAAACCCACCTTCTCGGAGAGTGAAAAAGCTCATGGCAGAAAGAGAATCAGGCTGGTTTTGCACAAAGTGCTGCTCTCCTTTGAGTTCAGGGCTTGAATTTTGAGGTAACTGGCTCTGCCATGGACATAAACTCATTATCTCCATATCTGCACCCAAAACCACCCCTCTCCCTCTCATCATCCGTTACTTATGGAGCTAGGTGACAGCAAGCTCCAGGGTGCAGGCATGCATTCCCAGAAGTGTTTAACAGCACTTCCCAACCTGAAGCAGTTTGTCCAAAAAAAACCAAACCAAACCAAAACCAAAATCAACACCACCCCAGCCTTGCTGCCAGGCAAATCCTAAGCAGAATCCCTGCCAGGCAGTGTTATGATCCACTTGCAGTGTGTGAATTTGTTTATGACACCCACTATGTAAACATACCCCGAGATGTATGCTAAAGGTAAGAAATCACTGCTCTACAAACAAGAATGATATCGACTTGATGTTATTCCTTTCTGTTTATTTAAAAATAAACTGTAGCACTTGCAGATCCCACCTGATATAGGTGAAGAATAACATCTGAGCAAACTATTTTTTCCTTGTGGAAAACAAAGGGCCCTAAAGTTTCCATAAGCAAAATACACCAAACAGTACAGACTGTGTATCTCAAACTTTCCCCACGACAGAAAGAGGTGGAAACAAGATTATTTTTATGTTAACATTATTGTAGATCTCATCCTCATGAATTTCAATAAGCAGCTGAGCTTTCACATTAGAATTCGATGCCTTTATGTAAAATTTAGATGTAGTACTACAGAAAAGTATATGTATTCCCCTTGCTTTCCTTATATCATGAGGGCAAAAGGATTTGCACAATATCTAGCTATGTTGCAGAATTATATATTTTTCAGAAGCACAATATAATATGAAATGAAGCAATTTGAAAAATAGGAATAGAAATTATAAATTTAGCCAGTTATTCTCAGGCCTCCCTGAGAATGAGGCTCACCAGTTCCCTGATTACTGATACCAACTGCAGTAAGTTAAATTAATTTTACTTCATGCAACATCACACACATAACCTGTCATTTAGTAGGATGCATTTCAGTTTTAAGCAAACCATGGGGCACCTCTAATTCTATTTCACCTATGCAGTCCTCCACCTGTTCATTGCAGATGGCCAATCTACAAACCTTGTAAGAAGAAAAACACATTTTCACTTAGCACCTTTGACTAACAATGGCTTACGTCTTGGAACAAGCATATTGTTTATTTATGAACTTTTTCTTTCCATGACCACATGGCTCTTCAGCATTAAGTATCTCTGAACACAAACAACAGAAACTGTATTCTGGATCCTTGAACTTTAAGTTAAAAATCTGCTGTTAGCACATACTGGTACCGCCTTTGTAAGAAGTTAAATTGTTATTCCCCCGAACACTAATATTTTACGGTAATTCATTTTTCTCATGTCAAAACAAATAATTACAGAATTGTCTGGGCTGGAAGGAACCTCTGGAGGTCCCCAGTCCACCCTCCTGCTCAAAGCAGGGTCAGCATCAAACTCACATCCGTTGCTTTGCCCAGTTGGCTCCTGAAAAGCTCCAGGTTTGGTGGCTCCTGTCTCAATGCCTGACCATCCTCACAGTGAATAAATCCCCCCCACACATCACGCTAGAGCTGCTCTTGGCTCCCTCGTAACCCCAGCTTGTACATCAAAAGGATGCTGTGCCTTAAGGTCTGGTGTTCTGCATCAAATACAAAGTGACCTGGGCTGTTACCTTTATAAACATGTTCTCAAGGGGGTCTGCGTGCCATTTAGATGGTTACACAATTACTCCCACCGTGGTTCCTGACAAAACACCAGCTCATTTGTGCTGGACAAAGGCGGTTTGTAAGAAACAGGCCATCCTTTCCTAAAGGGTTTTTGAGTCCACAGCAAAAGGAGAGAACAGATGACAAGAAACATGCAAAGAATTCAGTATCTGAGGTTATGCAGGTGTGTTCTCCAACTCAACAGAAATGTATTATGCTATAGTCAGGCTGGTCATTAAATGATCAACCTGTGGCCTTCATAATCCTGTTTCTAACATGCTTTGGTGGATGGAATTATTATACTCTGTTAGTGGCATAAGCGACAAACCTGGCATGGCTTGTGAGCTCAGAGGAAGTAAATCCATCAGGGCAGGGATGAGTCCCTCCTACACTGTGTACAACGTTATCAAAATCAAACCAAAGTCTGGTAGCATCCTAACATCCAGCAAATTCTGCAGCAAGTGTGGGAGGTTTTTGCACAGGTTTTCCTGTGCAAAAGCACAACTCAGGTACAGACAGGTGTAGGTACCCTGCCAAAACACACCCTCCACTGCCACCCCCACCTGCTCATTCACAGCCAATCTGCAAATCTTTAAGACAATAAAAACACAAATTAGATTTTTAGACTAACACAACTGAGTGTCAGACTTATTATGGACCTCTTCCTCAAACGCAGGGGTGTGACTAAACTCATCCGAGTTTGTCAAACCACACTCTTTGAAACTTTTGGACTCTGCTCTGTACTATAAATACCTTGATTCCTTTCACGCCCTGCAAACAGCAGCCTTAACTTTACATTTCTCTCTCTGTGCTGACCAAACCAAAACAGGCTTTGCCTGCCTGACTCTGGCCTTCATCCAGTCCAAGTGCTCATCAGAGCCACTACCTCTAAGGGCAGTAGCAGAGACAGACATCACAGCCTCCAAGGGACGCTGCTGAACATTATAAAACCACCCCAAAATTCACACAGACTTCTGAAATTCAGACTACAAAAGCTAAAATGAAAATCTTTAGGTTGCCTAAGGCATAAATAACTACTCAAGGGATTCAAGATAAAAAAAAAAAAAATTAAAAATCACTAAGACGCAGGGAAGTGATCTTAAAATCATCTAAAATTCACTAGTGACTCAGTGAGCAATACAGGCCTCAATCAAAAGTGACAGATCACTGGCAAAAAGAGAATAATAAAAATATGAACCTAATTGCACTCATTACAAAGCTTTTGCAACTTCCCTTTTATGAAGTATTGCTTATCTGACAAACATTGCCAGCTCCAGCCTTACTGAGCACATCATAGCAAAAAACACCTCCCTAAGAGGCTTCTGTAAAGCCCCTTGGGCAAAATGAGAGGAGATGGCAACCACACTGCTGAGATGAACGCAGAACTGTGCACCAGCTGAAAAATCATCACCTTAATTTGTGTAACTCTCTCAAATGCTACAAATACACACACTGAATTTTTGTCTTCTATTGCAGTTGCTCAGAATGACTTATAGTCAGTCACTAAGCCCTGCAACAAGGGTACTGTTGAACCGCAAAATGCTCGTTGCTTTAGCTGGTCTACCTGCCCTGCACTTGACACTCCTGCTTAAGTGTCACTTCAATTGAAAATAAAAATCCAGTCCTGTGCAGCAGCAGATCTTTACCCTGACTTAAAGGAGTTTTCACTGTATTTAGCTCTGAACAGGGAAAAACTAAGCAGGTTTCACTGCCTGGTTCACTACCGAAGCACAACTACGTCCAAAAAAAACTAAACCAGGTTCTGGATATCAGCTGGAAAGGGTGAGAAGCATCTTCTGCTGCCCACAGCAGTGGGGAGAGGTGGGAGTATGAGATGTGCAACTGCTGAGGAGTTACCCCTCACACCTCCTTTTTAAATATCACTCCTGGAGACGAGGCAAGGTCTGGCTGCGCCCGTGGCCAGGCTATAATACACAACAGTCACGGAAGCGACGGCTTCCTGCCCCAAGCGCGGCATTGGGGAAGCTGCACAGTCATTATCATTTCGATGAGAGAATTATTTAGGTGACTTGGTAAGGTAAGGGCCAATGACACACATCCTGAAGGTGTGCATTCTCAGAGCTTTTCCCGTCTGAAAAGGCCAGGGGTTCATTGTTCGCCTGGCAGCCCCAAGAAACAGCCAACAAAGACAGGAAGTTATGCTGCTTTTTTTGAGTGACAAATGACTATGTTGACTTGCCACATAGTTACATGTGTAAGAGTTTTCCATCTATACAAAGCACCCCTTAATTCCAATGTACGCAAAATTACCTGTTTCTAAGACTAGTAATCAAAGTTAGTATCGTATTTTTTGTGGAGGACTGAAGTGTTAGTTTGCCAGCACCAAGCCACACTCCAAAAAGCTCTCTGATCCCACTGCCAGAGTAGCTTTAAAACACAAGTCTGCCCAACTAAATTACACCTGCTCACTGTATACAACCACTATTACGTGCTTCTGCAATGACTATTCTCAGGCTGATTTAAACTTCTTGCCAATGTGCTTAAGATACAGCCAGCCAGTCACTTTGGGGGCCAGCATAACTTTTCATGATGGATGCTGTGCCATTCCAGTATTCTTCACACAAAGGCTTTTCCTCAGATATTATACAACTGTTCATTCTTTATCAGACAAAAATCTGACAAGGTCTGTTGCACTTCTACACAATTTAAAGTCTATTTAGACAAGCAACACCTGATTTGCAATAGTCCTGACCAACATAGCTACCAGGTAGAACTAACAGCTAACCCATGGCAATGTTTTTCCCACCTCTACTTGAGCAACAAGTGACCTAAACCGGTGAGTTTCAGGAGCTCACATAGGAGTTATCACATGCTATTTAGCATTGAAACAAGAGAGTCTATAATGACTTCTATGCTTAGAGGTCAAACCAGCATAATTATCTGACATATTTTGCATCTGAGATATAAATACAAACACACTTTGCACCACTTACTCATATGATAATGAGCCTGTGAATCACATAAAGCTCGGTCAGTCCACATCCTGCTTTACTCCTCACCTTTCTCTTAAATGCAAATTACTAATAAAAGGCAGCAGGTTGATGAACCTTAGTCTACACGTAAACTTAAGGCTTCCCTGCTAATACCCACGTACCAGCGCCGCTGGCTTGACAGACCATCACCATAACAGCTCCTCTCCTTTCAGTGCAGGGACAGTGGCGAGCCCCAGTGACAGCTCGTGTCGAGGGATGACTAACCCGTCCACCACCATTTGATGGTCACCCCGGGCTGTTCTGTCACTTCGTTTAGAAAGCATTTTACAGGTTCTGCTGGCACGACTGGTCCCGGAGCAGATCGTGCAGCAAGCAGCTCACGTTTGGGTCAATGATTTCCCAAAGCGAGCCCCGGCCGGCCCCGGCCACCGCGTGGAGTGCGGGGCTGCCCCGCTGCCCGAGCCTCCGCAGCCCCCGGCCTTACCTGCTGCTGGGCGGCCGGGCTGAGGCAGTCGGCGGCCGCCTCCATGGCTCCCGCTGTGCCGCTGCCGCCGCCTGTCCCCGCCGGGACCCGCCCGGCACGGCCCGGGGGCGGAGCGGGGAGCGTGGGCTGAGCTGCCCGGCCGGGGCCGGACCGAGCGCTCCTGCGGCTACACCTGCCGCCGCTGCCGCCGCTGCCGCCGGGCATGGCTGCGAAACCCCCACGGAACCCACCACGGAAAGCGCCCCCTGGAGCGGCTGCAAGCCTCACCGCCTCCCTTTCGTGCCCGAGGAAGATAAACACCCCCAGAACATCCCAACAACCCGGCGTACGCCCGCCCTCCAGGCTGCATATCCGCGCAGCTCCCAGCGCGCTGGCAGATAACACGATGGATAGATGCTTATAAATATACATTCGCACCAAGCGGCGTTTGCGTGGCAGAAATAAACCGCCTAATTGCTGTTAATTGCTGCAATTATATCGGTATGGTAGGTTGGGTTGTGTACGACTGGCCTTAAAACAAGCTATCCACGCTGGATTAGCTGGTGTTGGTTTTATTCTGTAAGAAATGGCGTTACACGCTAAGCAAGAATAATAATTTTAAAAAGCATCTATTCGAGGTCTGTCCATATTGCAGAAGCACAAACATGAATAGTGGCTGGTCAAAAAAAGGACATCCTGCATTTCAAAAGGTCTCTTGTGATGAGCTGGATGAGCCAAAACCACAGAAGGATTAGAGGACACAAATGGTTTTAAATGGCACTAAATGGGACAATACCTCAAGAACAATTCACGGCACTGTCAGAGCAGAATCTTGCCTCCAGAGAAATTAGTGCCATCTTTTGATTCCACCCGATTTCATTTCAAACCATGTCTCAATTCCCTCTGACTACAACCCAAGCGCACACACCTATCCCCCTCCCAGAGGTCAGGGAGGAAACCATCAGGGCAGGGAGAACTGCCGAAGTTTAAACAGCTCGTTTTATCCGTTCCCATTCTGCAGCAGCAACAACGGAGCACATGGAGAGTCATCTCTTCCTGGCACCGGATTTTCTCCGGCAAGCAAAACAGGTTTCTCCTTAGCAACTCGGCCTGCACTCTCCTCCCCGCTCAGCCAGCACAGGTCGGCGAGCCCTGCAAAGCTCCACCCAGCAACTGAGCTCAGTTTTTCCATGAGCTGCCAACCCAGTACAAGGAATCTGGTCCCTCAGGCTGGCAGTGTTTTAGCCAATTTGGAAGCGCTGGCACTATTTGACATTTGGGGGCAATGCTTCAGCTGGTTTCACTGGTAGTCCCTGGACTCCAGCCATAGCCTACTGTCCCTGGAAAGGCCAGACATACTTATCTTAAATAAAAAGGATTAGGGATGTCTTACTTGCACCCTGGCCCTGAGAGAAACCCTGATTAAGTCAGGTGAAGCTTTACACTTGCCAAACAGACTGGTTTTACACAAGTCATAGAACCACAGAATGATTTGCGTTAGAAGGGACCTGAAGGTTATCCAGTTCCACACCCCTGCCATGGGCAGGGACACCTGCCACTGGACCAGGCTGTAATCATAATGTTTCCTAGACTGTGGCTCAGCTCCTGTAGTCACAGAACTGTGTGCACTTGCTTTTCATTTAGCTGTGTCTGAAGGATCCAGTGGAATCTTGAGCACCAGGAGGTGCCTGGTCTTGAACATCCAGCTACATCCAGCCTGGCCTTGAACACTTCCAGGGATGGGGCAGCCACAGCTTCTCCAGGCAACCTGTGTCAGGGCCTCACCACCTTCACAGGGAAGAATTTCTTCCTTATACCCAATTTAACTTGGTCCTCTGTCAGTGTGAAGCCACTCCCCCTTGTCCTGTCATTCCAGGTCCTTGTAAAAAGTCTCCATCATTCCTATAAGCCTCCTTTAAGTACCAAATAGTGCAATAATGTCTCCAAAGTCATATCTTTCATTAAACTCCCTGTTGAGTCTACAAGTTATTTTATCCTTCACTACCAGGTAAAGGAACCAACTTTGCTTTAAAAAATAAGTGTCCAATGACTTAAATCCACTTCAGTATGTGTATAAAAATAAAGAAACCAATAGATATAGAAATAATGCTTTCTGTGAAGCACCTTTAATTTAAATCTACATTTAAGAAACACTCAATTCATCCCCTGGTATTGCTTACACTTAAAGCAGGAACCAGGCCAACGTAACACCAACAGGAAACGCTCTCCTTTCCAGGTGGTATAACCTTCAGCCCTAAGCCCATTATTTAAGGCTGATAAAGTTCTCAGTCTGCTGTGCTTCCTTATCCTCCATCAGCAGGAGCAAAGACCAACAGAGATCTGCGGCACCTGAAGGCAGGCCATGGCCTACCCTGCAGCGGTGCTTCCTATCCCAGCTGGCTGGCTTGCCTGGAGATGCTTCCCGAGTGCTGGCAACATTTCTGCTGTGCCCTGCCATGCCAAGCAGGTCTGTCTTCTGTGAACGGCCCCGAGTTCAAGAGAAGTTATGCCTAATTTGCAGAGACTGCTCAGCATTTTGGTGCAGTGAAGTTTGATTTTGGGATTCCTGCAATGCTTGGTGCTCAGCTGTGAGGAAGGCACTTCTGGACTACGGCGGCTCACCTCAAGGTAGCACAGACCAGGCACTGGAGTTAATTCTTTAGGAAAAATACATATTGCCTTGTATGTAGAAGCTCTAACAGAGGAAAGTGATGTGAACTGTGTGAATCTGAAGCATCATAAAAACTGAGTGTGACAAAATATGAATATTTTCATCTTAGCTTAAAATAGAAAACTCATTTTGGGTTTTCTTGGTTAACGAGAATTAAGCTCCCCTTACATTCACTGGCAAATCTGTACAGTTTTTGTACTGTCACTTGGAAAATACACTGGCTTTACAAGGCATAAATCATCCCCACACACTTTTTCCCCGTTTACTTTCCAAGTCCATGTACAAGCAAAGATGTTTGGTTTTATTTGGTTTACTTGAGGAAGCACTTCGTACATACCTCAGGATAAACTCAAACAAACAAGCGTGCTATGGACCTGCTGGGTAGGAACTGAAGGATAAAGAGGTCTTTTAAATGCTAGCAAACTTCTATTTTTCAGTAATACAGAGCTGACAGCACTGTGAACACACACTTCAGCATCTTATGATTGATTTTATGTGAAGTGAGGCTCGGAATTCCAACCAGGTCCTGACAAATTCCCCAACAACATGAATTCTCTGTACACCCACATACACACTCTCTCTTCCTCAGCCCTCCTGGTGTTCAACACTCCACTGGATCCTTCAGACACAGCTAAATAAAAAGCAAGTGTACACAGTTCCTGACTACAGCAGCTGAGCTACAATCTAGGAAGCCAGTGATGCATCTTACTTGACTGCTTGCCAAGGGTATTTAGCATCATTAAGCTGATAGCAGAGAGCTCTCTCAAACTCCTTGCCCTGGAGGTGCAAGGGACACTCACATCACCTGGAGGATGTTGGTTGAAAGTGGGTATTAGTCTTACCTTTTTTTTTTTTACCCCCCTCAGAAATGCTGCGCCCATCTCATCATACGTCCCTCCTATTCAGAAAGAAAGCCAAAGCATCTGAAGCTCTGCTAAATATCATGATATTTATTTACTTATTCAGCACTGTCAGACAGTTCTTGTGCATTTCCCCCTCTGAAATAGGACACTGGAAGAGTGCCATTAATTCCAGGACATATCTAAGCAGGAAGAATATTAATTGTGGAAATATGCATTGCATCTACAAAAATGCTAAAGCGAGCCTAAGAAAAACAGATAATGGGAGTCTTGGGGCAGGGGCAGGCAGGGGGGGAGAGTCATCTGACATTTTCAGAAACCTGGTAGCATAACTGTGAGTTCATCTTGGGTATGTCTAAGCAGGAAAAAAAAAGAAAGTTACTGCACTTAGGACAGCAGCTCTGATTCCAATGCCACAGACCCTTTATCTCCCCAGGGAGAACACACCTTTCCTTTGCAAACACACACACACACACACACACACAAAATGCACATGTGCACCCAGCACAGTGCATTCCTCCACAAATGCTAGCCTAAATCCTAAAAAATCAGTTTTCCAGAACTGCAGTTTACCCACAACTACCAAGGAGCTGCGTCAAAAGGAAGAGGGGAAGATCATACAGTCATTCTCCAAGTATGTTACTATCACTAATAACAAATTCCAAGGAAGCCTGGCCCACAGCACAGCTCACTCAATTGCTTGTTTTTGTCTTCAGGGTGCAAGAGGTAGTTTAAGAGGCATGGAAGCAGGATTCAAGTAGGAATAAAGTAGGCAAAACCTTTACCAGGTTTAAACACTGAAAAAACCTGCACCTTTGATCAGTCTGGCTCCAGACTGGCCCATCTCAGTATTAATTTACAAGCAATACAGCAGCCACCTCCCAACACTATCCATCACCTATGCATATAACTCAGCTTACATCATATATATAAAAATGAAATTCTGTTGTCCATTTCCTTTACTCTCTTGAAGTACATAGCTTTTGGTGGACTTATCAATGTTAGATTATTGGGTGGATTCAATCTCAAAGGTCTACCTACCTGATTTAATGATTCTTAGAATTTTGGTAATGACCCTCCATATCACATTTACTGCTGCCTTTCCAAACAGTGGAAACAGACAAAGCAAGCCTCATTTTGTGGAGAGCAAAAAAAAAAAAAAAAAAAAGAAGCTGAAAAATACTTTATATTAGAAGAAATATTTGGTTACTCTAGGTTTTTTTTCAGTAAGGTTCAAAATTCTCCTAAGGTTCTAGAAAGTCTATAAAAATCTATGGAGTAACACCCATCTGAAGTCATGCAGACAGGAAAAACGAAGTATGCATCTCTCACTTCATCATCCCTGCCTGCTATGGGCATCCTGGCACCTTTGCAGCTCAGCTGGCAAAGGTAACAAAACCTCCTTGTAACCTGTAACCAAGGCAATGAGCTCGAGTAAACACAACTAAGTGCTTCTTAGGAAAACAATGTCCGGTTCTCAGCACCAAAATGCACTGCCAGTATCAACAGATTATCTTCTAGTGAGGCTGGAAGGGAGGAGGAGGAAGGAAACTGCTGGACCAGGCGCAAGTGCCACATCACAGTCACATGGACTTGGGCAGGGAAGTTGGAAGGCTCTTGAGCAGCCTATACA